GACGAATTATATCGAGAATATTTGCTTTTTGTTAATGTAAAATTAAGATTTTGAGTGTTTCTTTTAATTTGAGAGAAGAGTAATAAAATTGAATATCTTGGCAATGTATTAATTCTTTGTTTATTGGTGTTCTGCAGAGATTGAAGAGGCGAACTGGTTGACTTTACCAAAGGATATTCGTCATTTAATAGGAGATGGATTTGATGCAGTAATTTGCTTGGGGAATAGTTTTGCTCACATGCCTGACACTTTTGGAGATCAAAGAGAACAAAGGTAATATCGATATATCTTACTCCGTATTAATGTATTAGTAGATTGCAAGAGTTTTCTTTTCAACTTCGTTATCGACTGTAGGCAAGCATTATTGAATTTTGAACACTGCGTGAAACCCGGTGGCCTGCTGCTGATTGATCACAGAAATTACGATGATATAATTGATACTGGTAATGTACCGGCAAAATGCATATATTACAATGTAAGTATACTTCAGAAATTTCGAGTCTATAAACAAATAAATTTTCGATTTCTTTCAAAAATTATATACAAAATTCCATCTATAGATGCGTTTTAAATACTCTAATGCAAAGCATTCAAATTAAAAATATTCAAATTGAAAATTTGGGCCCTCGAATTCGAACGATTCAATTTTGGCGCATGAAATTTTGTAATCTAATATTTATTAGAATCATTTTTTATGGAATTTTAGAGTCAACGCACAACAAACATTAAATCATCGGTACTATTCGTTTCGGGAAAACCAGCGATCGTCACCTTGGATTATATGATAACTTTGGATGAAGGGGAGGAAGAGGAAGAGCAAGTCAGCGAATTCAGACTGTCGTATTATCCACACAGGTTAAATGTGTTCAAGGATATGTTGGACGAAGCGTTCCATTACAGGGCCAAGCACACTATCTACGGCGATTTTAAACCTTTGGAAGAAATAAAGAATCCTGGTTTCTATATCCATGTAATGGAGAAACCAGAATATGCAAATTTAATAAAATCATAATCATTTCAACGAACACAACTTCGTCGTGGAGTTCTAATTTTCAACATGTTTTATTTATTTTCTATTTATTTCGTACATTCCTGGAAATGCTATTTACATTTATTTTGAGCAGCTCAGTCTGATTTAGTTTATCCTCTTGGGAACTCTTGCTCTGTATCATGATTTTTATAATTTATATACTTTTTTGTACATTTTAAGAAACTTTTGCTGTGTTCGTTTTCTTTATATATATATGTATATATATATATAGAGAGAGAGAGAAAGAGGGAGAAAGGAAAAACATATATTATATAATATTAGTTGTAAGTTCACACTGAAAAAAGATGAGCAATAAAAAGAAGTAGAAGGAAAAATTGTGATTGATTCAAGGATCGATTCGCAAATAGAACAGCGGAGCTGGGTCAAGTTTTAATCTTTTTTTATTATAAGTTCGAAAGCAGCTTTCTTTTGAGTATTCTAGCCAGGCTTCGTTCGATGCTACAATTTGATCTCTCGACGATACGATTTTTCATCTTTTATCTTATGTCTTTTTTTTTTATTTTTTCTTTAAGTATATTCGTCTCGGTGGTTTTTTGAGCGATCGTTGACGCCGATTCTGAACTCCTTGATCGACCCTTCGCTTCCGACCGTCGTTCGAACGTTCCACGCTTCGCAAAATAAGATCAGGAAGACCAGTGAACATTAGACCACGGTAGATTCGAAATTTTGGTTAGTCTTCACGGTTGGTGTTTCATTTTACCATGTATCTGCATAAAACAAAAGAGCTCCTCAAGTTTTAACCTCATCATCGATACTTCGATTCAATCGTCAGTGGCGCTGTTCAAATACCATTTTCCTAAATTAATATATCATCTTAAATGATCCCTTAAAAGTCCTTCATCGCTTTCTAACCTTAATTTCACGTTGTCTACACCTTTTATAGGGAAGAACCATGCAATACAATTGCAATAACCTTGCAATCAATACAATTTCTTAAGGATCAATATCGTCTAAGTGTAAGCAATCTCAATCAGAATCGGGCATTACTGATTTAAAAGATTCAATATTTACAGAATTCTGTAGTAGATCGATCCTTTGAGAGAAGATTTCAAGGTTATCTTTAATAAAGACGATTGAGCTCGAAGGATGATCACGATCGTAAGCATTTTGCTCTTAGAAAAGTGCAGCTTTTTATTTTCGATCGAAGCTAGAGATTTTATCGATTTAGATCCTTTCAAGGAGAGCTTTCGTCGTTGTTATCAATCGTCGACGATCGCTCGAATTGAAAACAACAACAAGAACATGAACGCGGCGAGGAGCGTTCGCGTAGGACCATTCGTTCGTCGCGTTTCGTCTTCTCTGAGTCGCGTCGAGATCGCACGATCGGATTCTCACAAGAGTTCGCAAACAGCTCGGCTCCTGTCGATTTTCCAACGCCATGAAGATCAATCGGTCATCTGATCGTTTCACGATACAGATTTCTTTTATTTCGTTTCGTTCCATTTTGTCTTTGATAGAAAAATGGAAAGTTTATGATTACGAACACTCTCTTGGTTTACGTACAACGTTGTGATACGCTGTTGTTCGTTACAGAATTGCAAATACGACGTGTTTTTGCTTTTTTTTTTGTTTTGTAAAACAACGGCGTTTCGATTTATAAAAGAAACATATCGTCATATATAGGAGCGTGAAGCTTTGTTTTGCGGTAACCAAGAGAGGTTATGTTTGCTAATTGTTCATTAGACAGTCATTTTCTATCGATTAGAAAAGCATTATATTGATCTAAAGTATTGAAAATCGTTGATTGAGAAACGAATTTTCTTCCGGAGGATAAAAAAAAGATTGGCGAATAAGCCGAGCGATGGTAACTGGAGATTGATCGATTTTTCGTGGCGTTCGATTACCGAACAGCAGTTTTCGGAAATGACAAGGACAGAATTTACAAGGCCGAGGACTTGATTACAGTGCAACGAATTGCCCATATAGAAAAATGGACGAAGTGTTAGTTATAGCAAAAATTTGTTTACCCCCCTTTTCTTTTGTTTTAATAGTAATCATAATAATGATCATAATAATAACCATAATAATATATATATATTTTTTTCTTTATTTCTTTGTTATTCCGCCGGATAGCTACTATATAGATTCTCTTAATCATTTTCACAAAAAATTCGATACGATCACGGCTTCTTCGATCGTCGCGGCGATCACAGTCGTCGTCGTATAACTTTCTTTTTTTTCTTTTCAACAAAAAGAATCTGTCATTCTTTCATATTGTTTTTGTGATTTTTATTTCAGAGAAAAGAAAGATTGAGATATCAGATTCAAACAAAAACGAGGCATCCGCTCGTCTTCTTTCTTTCGAAACGAACGAGCGGGAGTTTCACAAAGAAATAAAGACAAACTTTCGTTCGTTCGTAAACTCGTCGTTGACAAATCGATGACGACGACGATGATGACGATGACGACGACGATGACGACGACGACGACGACCCGTGTCGCGACGCTCTCCACTCGAGTACGTCGATAATCCGTTATTGCAAAGTAGCTGATATATAAAAAATTGTAATATCACATGTTTACCATATCTTCTTTCGTCGTGTTGCCTGTTTTCGCGGCACCACATCCGACAACGACCCGCCTTGTCGGCATTTAGCTTCGACGCGGACGCCAATTGCGCTCCTCCACCTCCGTCATCTTCGATTTTCTTCGAGAAATCGTTCCGTGCACAATGTGCACTGCACATACACACACTGTTCCACGGGAAAAATACGTGATGGAGGTTCGTCGTTGCAATTACCAGAGACGCGGATCGATCCACACTGGCGAAACACTCAAAAAGACCGCGTTGTCAACGATTCCAAGATGGCGGACCAATAAGTCGATCATATGTCGTCCACCTCGATCATTCGTGACTTCGTTATCGGTTTCGTTCGAGCTTCGTCGCGTTGAAAATTGGCTCGTTGCGAACTGGTGCTAGAATGTTTCGATTTTGTCGAACATCACGAGTGGCGAGTCCGAATGGAATGTAAATCGGGGATTTTATGAAACCAATATGGCGCTGGGCTTATCGAGGAGATGAAACGCGTCGTCAGTCTTCGATATTTTCGATGCAACGGTTTACGGATACGTTTGGTGGTCGACTTACCGGTCACCAATGGAACCGCCCGACGGAGACGAGGATACGTGCGCGAGAAGAGAAGCTCTCGGATAGCGAACAGAGCGAGTCCACTTCCCCGCCATTCCAATATCGCCAGTATTAGCAAATTTTAAAATGCCAATTCGAAACTGAAATTGAAATTGCGTGAGTGAATATTTCTTGCGGAATTTCAAATATTTTCGTCGAAATTTTTATAAGATTGAAAAAAAGCATTTTGTAAATTAACTCCTTGCCTTATGATCTTTTCAGTAGATACTCAAATGAATATTTTTGTAGCACCATGTCAGATGATGTGTTATGGATATGTTATATATAATTTGCAGTTAGATTAAACATTGTTAAAGTATTCAAACTTCATTACGAGTACAATATCCCTTATTGAATTACGACTATAATGTTTGCCACGAGTATGATCCGATGTTAAGGCAAGGGTTAATTTTTAAGGTTAGTATGAAAATGGTAAATCGATTTGGAACGTCGGGCCGATAGACTGGATATGCAGCGTTAAAAAGGAGCAAGGCGCACCGTTCCCGACAATAATTCTCGATCGACGCGCGTCAGCTGCTGTAAACGTTTCAACGGCATGTTAAACTTTCGCGTTCGTTTTAAAGTGTATAGAAACTACGATAGAGCCAGCTATATCGTCACCGCTGCTAAAACCTAATTAACAAAGTCCTCGTAACTGCTCGATAATTCAACATTTTTCTCTTCATTTTCTTCATCTCGTTCTCGGTAACATCGTGAAATTAGAACTATTTCTGCATTACTCTTGTACGCTCTTCGTCTTCATGCCCCATACACACACAAACAGGCATTCTCGCATTCTTTCTTCCATATTTTTCGCTTCTATTTAATATTTATAGTATTTACACGCGTAGATATCCCTGTCAGCGCGTTTGCCCGTGTTCCCTTCGTTTTGTTTTTCATTTATTCATTTTGAATCGTCGTGGATCAACGTTCAGTGGTATGTTCGGGTCTCGACGATCCGTGGTTCCCCTTTAATCTGAATTGCGTTCAAATCCCGATAATATTACGCGAATGATCGATATTCGTTAATTAATAACGCCAAAAAGCAATGCTTGGTTCGTTAGTTCACAGAATTTAACATTTTAACGATTTAACCTTCTATACACATACTACTATAGTGACCATAAATAAAGAAAGGTAAACCATATGCAACCATATGTTCCGCCATATGCAATATAGATACATGAGGGGAATCGCGGCGTGGAAAAATGATATACATGTATATGTAACCTCAAAAGCTCCTTCGTTCGCATCGTTTCATCTATATATGTCGGCTTAAGCTAACGAAATATATATATATGTATATATCTATCAGAGGCTTATTCGATTAATCGCAATTCTCTATTCGTGAGATCAGTACTTTCCATCTTTGATTGTCCTTCAGAATTGTGTTATTCAAAGTTCTTTCTCGAGGCGGCAGCAACAGAAATACAACATACATATGCATATGTGTGTCTCTATTTCTGTGTGTGTGTGTATATATATACGGATGTATGCATACGTGGGCGATATATATGAATATTCTCGTTGTCGAATCGAAGTTTTTCTCGAAACAGAAAGCTGCGCCGGAAACCGAGAAAGAATTAGAGGAAAAGGAAAGAATAATCGCGATATCATATTTTCTTGCTGCTTTTTTTTTAACCTTTTCTTGTTGCAAACGCGTTGACACGAACCACGCGTAACTTTATCAGTTTCTTCTTTTTTCTATGTATATTATATATATGTATATGTATGTATGAATATATATACACGTGTCGTAGTTACAAGATATATATACACCTAATATTGCTGTTTGGCTTCTGTGAATGCCATGTGAACGCGGGATTAGGTCATGTTCTGCAATGTAACAAAGTACACGGAATCTTTCAGTTTCCGTAATGGCGTTTGACATTTGTCATTATTGAAATATCGCGACCGTAAGTTGCAGCACTTCAAGTTCGATCAAAATGGAGAGTTTTATTTACTTATTTATCTTTTTTTTTCTTTCATGCTCTTTTCCTTTCCTATACTTTATTCGTTCTTTTTTATATTTTGCTTTGCTAATATTTAAATCTCGCGCGACCGCTGCACTGGAAATGCAGCCATTCGAGGCGTGGTCGAATTGACTTTTAACAATTTATAATTATTCATTATCGTCGCGTCATGGTGGGTTTCGGGAACCATTATCGAATTAAACGTCTTCATTGAATTTTATTTTATATTTCTTTCTTTTTCTAAGAATCGAATAGAAAAACTGGAGGAACGAGGAGAAGTATGTCGTTTAACACGTTTAAAAAGATAAGAATAACCTTTGTCGGTAGCTTCTAGGCACCTACGAGAACTGGTTTCTTGGTGTACCTTGAATTCTTTCTCGTTGAATAGCTTCATAATCTCAATTCTTATTATCTGTCTTGAGACGTTTAAGAGGTTGATGGATCACGAATCGCTTTACGGACAAGATCTCCTGAAGAAGGTAGTGAGAATACTTTCTGATGGGAAGCTTAGAAAAATGCAAGGGTGACCATGAGAGCATCTCTGGTATTAATTTTCAAATCATTTTCATCTAAATCTATTGTAGGATCTCTATGTTTTTTTTTTAGAAAGATAAAGAAACAAGATGAGATAATACTAAACTGAAAAAAATATAGTGAACGTACCACAATAAGCAAAATCTAAGTGACTAAACTTAAAGTTAAAAACAAACGACCTAACCTCAAACCTGGTGAAACAAATTTAGCTCCGAGGTTTAAAATATTCAATGAATGTCCTCCCAATATCGTCACGATTAATTTTCACACAAATTCACGCACTTGTAATCGATTTTTAATCATGTACACGCATACATACGTACATAAAGCATACACACACGGTTCATTGAGACGAAACTATCGAAAAGCCATCGATCAACGTTCGCGAATCTCGCTTTTTCGAACCTATCGACTGAAATAGAGGGGAGAAACAAAGAAGGGGAAACGGTAAAAAAAGAAGAACACGGCACCATGGTGCAGCGATAGCGATGCAACGATAAACGACTTGGCAACGCGTCTCGACGTCTTTCGCCTCTAATCACAGAGCTCGACTGTCCGAAAACTCAAATGCAGAGAACATCATGATATTCTATCTATACTAACTCTTACTTTCTCAAAATTTTCAACGCTCTTATAATAATTAGTCGTCGAGCCTGAACCGTTCCAAGCAATTAAAGAATCGTGTAGCATTGTTCGTTTTATAGTTGGACCGTTTATTAACAATTTTTTCATTCAATTTATATAGAATTAATTAAGGAATGATTAAAAATGAACGAAGAACGTGAACAACGATTCTCTAATTGCTTCAAGAGTACATATACATATATGTATGTATATATTGTTCTTCGTCTTCTCTTCACTTTATTCTTTTTTATTCGTTTCGTTTCATATAGTTTATTCTCATTCTCTTGCTTATCGTTTCTTTCCTTTTCTTTTCTTTTGTTGTTGTTGGTTGTTTTAGTTACTTAAAATCTATCGCGCGCAACCACGAGTCTAGCTGATATCCCCTAAAGATGCGTGTAAACCTACGATTACAGTGTGTGTTACCTTACGTATTAGAACGTGAGTATTCTGAATTTTGTTAGTTTCCATCCTCCTCTCGTTTAAACGTTCGATGTCTCGAAGAAGCCGTCGCAAGCAGTATATAATTCGATATACTTTTTTATATATTTTTTCTTTGGTTTACTTTTTTGCTTTTTAATCGCGTGTTTGGCCATGCAAAAATATGCCAAGTTGCATTATAGTAGCGGGATCGTTTCGTCGGCACATCCCTCTTTTATTTTTGCTCTCTTGTGTTTTTTTAACCTCTTTTATAGAATTTCTTTGTTTTTTTTTCCTTTCGTATTAAATTCGAACGACAATCCCCGAACCATAACCTCAAAAATCAATATTTTTTTCCCCGTGTCGGATTCGTTCTTCACGCGTACCGACGAATGCTCGCTAAAGACCAGACGCGAAGCGAGTAGCGAAAATGCAGCATGTCCTTAAAACGTACGCGGTGAAATTTTACAGGTAGCTTACTCTACCGGTACACTCGTCTCATTTCGTTGAAAAGAGTTCGCTGAAACAGCCGTCCTTCTCTTCTTTAAAGAAACTAGAAATCTTAACCTTGTCACAACTTCCATTTCTTTCCGATTATGATAACCTCCAAATAGCTATTTTCCTTTTTCCATCGATTAGAATAGGACCAGCTCCGACGATCCTAACCAACCACATAAAACTTTCTTAAGTCACATCTAATTGCACCATACTTAACCCTAACCTTAACGAAATCATTCCAGAGAACGGCAGTTCGTTCCAGCGATTCTCGCCAGAATATCAGCCTCGAGACGATCGTCCGGAGCCTTAAGAACTTTCACAAGTATTCCCTAGGTCTGGGCGGAGGCCGTTTTCTGTCGGACCTGTCGCTTCTGTCCGTCGCGGTGGTGTTCTGTTCCCTGTCATCCGTGCACTCGAGCATCTGCGTGGTCTCTGTCGCCTCCGATGGACTAATAGGCTGACTAGCTAACGGTGCCAGCGGTGCAGCTCCCTTGTTCCTTGATTTGCTTCTTCTCTTCCTCAAAATCAACGGTCCAAGGGATGTACCATCGTCCCCTCTGGAAGTGGACGCTTGGGCCAGTCTTTCTAACAACTCTTTACTCATTTCCCTCGAGGAAGTCTTATAATCACTACTACTGTCCTTCAATCTGTCAGACTGTTGCGATTGATGATGGTGATGGTGATGATGATGATGCTCTTGGGATTTGGAGCTTCTCTCTGTGGTTGTACCCTGCTCCCTGTAACCTTCGGTCGTCGACGTGGATGCAGTGGCTATAGAAATTTTCTGCTCTGTGCTTCCCCCAGGTGTTTGCGTAGCCTGGGAACCCTGTTGACAGCTAGAAGCACTTTGTGGTTGACTGGTTGGCTGAATCTGCGAGGAACCGCCGCTACCACCAGTTGAAAAATTGTTCGAGCCCTTCTGCTGCGGTGGAGTGGCCGCAGGAAGCCTTGTCATTAGCGTCTGCAGCATGTCCTCGATCTTTGCTAATCTTTGATTGACTCGTTGCACTTCCAGTTTCAGATCAACCTTCACCTCGAGCACGGCAGCTAGGATTTCACGATCGTGGCTCGGCTGAGTAGTAATTAGTCCATCGTCATAGCTCTCCAGTCGGCGAAGCTGGAGCTGCTTCGAATCTGCCGCATTCTGCTGCTGTTGCTGCGTCTCTTTCACGTTTTCAGCATCACCTGATTCTTCGATGGTACCGGTCAGCTTACCGAATTTTGGGAACACCTTGTTGCTACCGGCACTAGAACTGGGACGGGTGTCCCTGGCGCTTAAGGATCGTTTGAACGTATCTACCCCGGTTCCCGTCTCGCTTCCGGAGTCTAGGCTGGAGCTTCCTGTAAAATTCAGGCTTTTTTGTGATGATTTACTTCGCTAAAATATTTTATTTAAATATTCTACAACATTGTAAACAGCTATTCTAGCATCAATTGGTATCATTGGGTCTTGGATATATTTAGTTTATAGATTAGGTTTATTACTAACATTATTGCTTAGGTTTGATACTATTAATGATATTCATCATGTAATATGTAGAATTTTTTTTTTTTTATTTAATTGTTTACATTCACAATTTGTCCAGTTTGGACATTTGGTAGAATTTTTTAGCTGTTAGATTATCATGTGGGTGGCTACCATTATCGTGTTTGTTAGGTTATGTCCTTTGTGAATATGTAGAATAAAAGTAGATGGAATGGTAGTTTTCAATTACCTAAGAGTCGTCCCCACTTCCCGGCCCGTCCTTTAACAGCAATGTTCTCGTCCGCTGTGGAGAGTTTCCTGGCGTGCGAGGATTCACCCTCCTTCCCATCCTTCCCGTCTTTTCCGTCTCCTTTCTCCACGTCAGCATTGTGTCTCTCCCTGCGGAACCTGGATAGAAAAAAGTAGAGAGCGAGAACGCCCGTGTTTAGTCGTGTCGACGTGATTTGCTTTTGTCTATTTACATTACTGGGATTAAGAGGCCAGTTTCACTAGGCGATCAATTAAATAAAGGGGGGAATAATAAGATTACATGGTGTATACAAATCATGGGTAGGAGAATAATATAGTACATATTTAAATTTGTTCTTTTTTTTTACATCCAAAAGTTTCACATATGTACGTATTTCTTCTTTTCGTTTTTTTTTCTTTTTTAGGTTAGGTTGAACTTTTGTGAAACTTTTCTGTCCCTCGATCGTGCGTGATCGATAATCATCATTCAGCGGCAGGTTTTTGGGAAGGATAGATACGTATATATGCAAAATATATATAAATTGATATATACATAGGTATTTATGTACATTTTACATATATAGTGTTGATATTATTTTTGGTTAGACGAAGAACAGTCGTCCTTTCTTTCTTTGCTCTGCTACTGGTGCCGCTTTTTTTATTGGTGGCAAATGAGACAAGTTCGTTCTACTGAGGCTAGAAAAAGGGAGACAGCTCCAGCGGTGTTCACGAGCAACCTACTTTGATGTGCCTACGGGATTCGAAAGAAAATATTCTCGGTGGTGATAAGATGCCGATAACACATACGGGAAAACCTGGCAGCGTCGATGAACCGATTGTGGCCTCGTACCTATCAAAAAAAAAAAAAGAAAAAAAAAAGAAAAAGGTAAGTATAAAATAAAGCTCTTACTGAAACATACCATACACTTAGGAATACGTACATTAAGAAAAGAAATAAAGAAAAGGCCATAAGTAGATATGGGAATGAAAAGAAAAATAATGTTGCACATGTTACAATTTACAACGAAGGTACAAAAGCAAAAATAATTTTGGAACTATGAGAGGACAAAGGCTGTGCACAATGATCCATCAAATTAGTACGATCTATTCGGAAATTTTGAAATTGTTTGAAAATTGAATAAATATGTCTGGAAAATTTGTAAGTTTTCTTACACAAAATATTGAATCATTCATCTTTTTCCTCTAACACTTTGTTCGACCAAAAGAGAGATATTACTTGTTTCAAACTTGTTCATTACTTGTTTGAAACTTGTCAAAATTATTGAAAAATCGAAGAAATAAAATTTGTCATTGTTTTTTATCTGATCATAATAATTCGATTATTTACTGTTGTATTTGATTGACGAAATTTTGAACGAAAGTTTCCTGGTGAAAGACACAGGACGACATTCTTGTTGGTCGAAATCGTGGTGTCTGATTTTCCGTCATGAAAAGTCGGGACACGTTGTCACGGTAATTTTTAGGCTGGATTGGTCGGCTCAGAAATTTCGTGCTTGATCCGTAATTATACCGTTTGCCCGTTGAGAGCATCAAAGTTTAAATTACTGGTTATCCACCGACGTACTCTGATGGGATACGAGCGAAGAATAAGAAATCAGAGTACGTAAATAGGAAAGTAGTGTTCGGCATGCGTATCGGTCTGTTCCCTTCGTCGTTTCATTGTCCTGGGAAAATAAGCGGATTCTTCCCGCGGGATTTTCTAAAAGAATGAAAGATCGTGGATTAAGAAAATATAGAATAGGATTTTTCTTACATAATTTCTCTATTAACAAGAATTTTTTAATTTATGTAATTAATACCGATCCGTGGTTAATATGAATTTACAAAATGTGTATGTTCCAAAATTTGCTGGAAAATTAAGGAAGAAGGTATTACTTAATTTCCAAATTCAAGGAAAATCTAATTCGTTTATTATACCAAGTGAGAGGCAGAGAATTTCGGTGAAAGTGGCCGGTTTATGGTCGGATATGATTTGCCTCTGCTGGGCTCCAAGATATTTTTTCTACTTATTATTCATGAATCTTTCAAGGTCTTCTAGAGATATTACGAGATGTACAATATTCTGAGACAATTTTTCTATTAGTAACAATTTTCTAATCTCACGAAAGGGACATTTTTAAAGATCGTGTCGAGCAGAACACTGAAAATTCCAACAATGATGGCCAATCTGTGATCAGACGTGTCTTTCTTTCTATTTTGTCCACGATGTTCCAAAGTTTCCTGGAAACATTAAGAAATTTAAGATAGGATCTTGCAAGATTATTTTCCTAATTTAGGAAGTAATGTAACAATTTGTTAATCTTACAAAAAAAAGTACCAAGAAAGATACTGACAATTCCAATATGCTGGTGGCCAATTTATAATCAGATTGTGATAATTTATTCCACAGATTTTCGAAAATATAGCTGGCAAAATATTTTCTTGTTATCCACGAATCTTTCAATATTCCTCTAAAACAGCAAAAAATCATAAGCAACCAAACTTTCGCAATTCTAAATCGCAGTAACCAGGTAAATGATGAGATTTCGCACGATGGAATTTCTATTCGGCCCCAATCGTGGTTCATCGACGCAACGTTAGATGATACAGTAGTATAAATGGTAAACGAGCTGCCTGATTAACTGTGGGAATGCCATCGAGCGATCAACTCGCACCACTCGATCGGAATAAGGCCAGAGAAGAGAGAAAAAAAATAGAAAAAAAAAAAAGATAGAAAAGAAAATGAAAACGTATACCGCCACGTTCGTCCTAACCTCTTCGTTCTAAATTCAGTATCATTATTAAAAACGTACTCTACGAATCTATCATGCACGATAACATGCCACGGTCGAGGTTTCTAAAAAAAACGGTCGATTAAAAGTTAGATAAAAATTCGAATAATTGTTAGAGGATCGTTGGCAGTCTGGCAGTTTTTCAAGCAGCTACTTGGCATCGTTATATATATGTACATATATATATGTATTAAAATATACGTATACATATTGCATATATATGTATATATATAAATACAGGTGACAAAGAGAAACTTGAATCCTAGAGTGTGTACGTCACATGCATTCGGCGTTGCATAAAATCGTAAAAGGATCGGATGCTCGAGGCGCGATGGAGGACTCTGGTATTTCTTTCAAACGGATTCGTAGACTTCTTAGTTCTTATAAAAAATGAACAAAAAAAAAATGCGAGGTACTGAGAGAAAAAGTGGACTAGTTCTAACACTTCACAAATTGGATAATTCTCTGTCTAAAATATATATGAAAATAATTCAATGCAACAACTGATTTCAATGTATTATCTGGTTTGATTTGGAAACAATGAATTATTTCTTACATTTTTGCACTATTCATCTTTAGACATTTTGCACCACTTTATTCTTTTTCCATTTTAGAAATCAATGAATTCAGAGTGCAATTAAATGTTTTATTACTATTCAGTATTAGGGGAAGTAACATTGAAAGAAATTTCACCCAATAACAGTTTTTAAGAGTTAAAACAGCTCAGTGCAATAAATTGACACATATAACTACCGATCTTTGATATGATATACGTAATTAGTTGGAATTAAAGTAGTGCGATGAAAATAGATCATATTTGTTACAATAAAAGTAAATACTATCGAAAGTTAATACTATGGAAAACAGTTGTATGCTTTTGGTAATCGTAAAAAGCAAAAAATACTAGTGGTTTAGTAATTCTAGTATTAATGTAATAAATTCCAATGTAATAAATTCACGTTCAGAAAAAATGTGACTTGGTCCATTTCTGCTCTCAATACGTCATATCGCTCTGTTAACGTTAGCGGCTGTGCCGTTTTATCAAGAACAAGCAATGAAACAGTAAAATTGCTCTTAAATAATAGAAGAGATTCGAAATTGAACGAAACAGAGAGCCCTCGAGTTTGCTCTATACAAATCCTGGTTCCACTAAGAATATATAATATACGTATATATATTTATGGTGGGAGAAAAATGCGCATAACCCTCTAAAGCCGTATATCTTACAGCACTCTAGCATTCGTCAGAACTGCAGTGATCGTTAAAAATGACAAATATTGAATATAATGGCATCGGGTGATGTGTACGCATCTATGAACGATGCGACTCCTGGGCAAATCGATTTCATCGTTTAAATATCATTATACCAAAATTATTAAAGGACGACAACGAAGACAAAAAGAACGGTACGACAATATTAGGACAAAAGAAAGAAAAAAAAATGATACATATAGAGCGATAAGAACGTCGAGAATTGTTTACATGGTGTAATTTTTGAATAACAAATCAACGAAGAAAGTTCAGGCACAAGAATGTTGCTTGAACCTTATGTTTGAAGTTACAAATAATTTAATTCTCTGCTAGAAATACACCGTTAGCTGCGTAGATTTATCCTTCTCAGTCTATCCTTTTAACTTCTCAAAATTGTCCTGCCTTTTAGTTTCGGGATTAAAAACATCTTGAAATTGACGAGTCATATTTCCTGTGCTTTATGGAAGAGTAATTTTAAAGTTCGACATATTGTTAGTCAATTTCCACATTAAAACTATCTCTTCGTTTAATTTTCGAATGAAATATATGTATATTTATTAAATATACGTCACCTTCTCGAACATCTAAAAAATACCAATGGTATAAGTTATACAGTCTAATATTAATGAAGTTAAATTAACGTAGCAACTAAATTATATTTGTTTCTTACAAAACATCGCCCACGTATTATCTATTTTTAGAAAGCAAATTTTTATAAAATATCCATCTTATCTAACCTCACCACATTTTCCTCACGTAGTTTGCCCTGTCTCAGAGCGACAGATATGTGATCTACGCAGTAATGCATGTATTACCAACCTAAAACCAAATTGTTTCTAGCTTGAAAATTAATCCTCAAATGATATTTTTGCACAGGAACCCTCTTCACTGTCTCAATATCTAGGCTCACAACATGTAAAATCGCCCGGGTCTTATTGACATCCTGCACAATATAAACAAAAGAAATATATATATATATAAACAGAAGAATGTTTGAAAAATAATAAATGGAAAAAGGTACATGGTAAAAAGATGGCGTAAAAGGGTTCCAGTTAAAAGATATGGGAATTCGATTTACCCAGGTTACTTCGTAGACGTGCTGAGTGAGAATACATATCAGTTTCTCTTTCAAGCGTGTGTACAGCGATTGCACATCCGTGATACCCTTCGAAACCTTTTTCTCGAGAAAAATGCGTATCGGTCGCCCCCGGAGGAGACGTTCGCGCGAATTGCATAAAATAGGTACGACACGACCAGAAGAGGAAGAAGAATAAGAAGAAGGAAGAAGAAAAAGAAGAAGAAGAAGAAGAAGAGCAAATAAAAAAAGATCGGTTTCGCGGATCGCATTCGTTCGATTCAATTTTCCTTTAGATACGAAAATTTTTTTTTTTTTTTTTTGGTTCGACGTGTCTTTTTGGTTTCACGGTTACGTGCAAATACACGCGATCGGAATATAGAAAAATTCTGCACGGTCCATCGTTGCCGGTAAGCCGCTCGTCCCGAGGTGGATCGTGTCGATCTAAAAAAAAGTTTTCTGTTTCTCGAATCTCCACGTAAAAAACGTTCACGCTCTCTCAACAATTGCTCATCCGTGATATATAAATAATTTAGGCAGCTATACATGTACAAGATCGACCCGTATAAATATGTATATATACATATATATAGTAACGATAATTATAGTCGTATAGTTGACGACTACAGGGGAAGAACACGATAATTAAATATTTTTACGTACGTATATTAATTATTTTGATTGACTGTATATTATACACTTTCACAGGGAAACAGTCTATGTTAAAAGTCTATGTTAAAAATCTATGATATGTGCTATTTTTATGCCTTTTATAATTTCAAAAATATCATTTTTGCGCTTAATTTCATTTTACACTTATTTCTTTTTAATTTAACTTTTAGATTAATTAGCCAGTTTTAGAAGACGTGCACCTTTAATTTACCAGGTTATTTCTATTTCCAGTCATATCAGAAATTTTCCTGCTTAAGTCACATAAAGTGACATTAAAATCCAGAAACTACCAAAAACTATAGTTATCATGTTTTTCCCTTGTCTGTGTGATCTTCATTTCTAAAAATATAAATATATCTAGGGATAGATGTATGTACATATGTATATATACATATATGCATGTATATATAATATGTATGTAGAGAAAAATCACAGTTGAGAACGATAATAATAATAATTATATATATATATATATATGTGTATATATATAACGATATACAATTATAATAACGATGGTTAAATATAATCATAATGAGAAGAATAATTAATCGAATCAATATAAATATAGAGTAATAATAATCAATAATATAAGAGTGTACGTAAGAAGTAGCAAAGATGGCAATAAAAAGAATGAAGAAAGATAAATAAATACGTAAGAAATGAAATTGCCTAAAACTGGGCCAGGGCGGCAGGACGTTCACGGTGAGCTCCTCGTCGGAATCCTGCTGGGACCGTCCATTTGCGGCCCTGCTCACGCCGATCTGGGCATCCCCGTCGGTCTTGAACCTTTACGGACAACAGGCCAGCCAAGCAACGATCAACAATCAACAATAATTTACCACAGCATACGATACGAAAATTTTCTAATTCTTTACTTTTTTTTTCTCATATTCTTTGCACTGATATAATCATCAATCATGTGTGCTAACATAATCTCTTTCTCTCCCTCCCTCTCGCACACGCTCTTTCACGCTCGTGCTTTCGCTTTTTGTAATGTTAGTTAAGAGTGTTATTGATTCAGTAGTCTGTAATTGGCGCCCGAATGTTTCTTCTCGTATCTTTATGCGCGTGTATTTCATAGATTTTAGGACTTTCTTGTTCTTTATATTCTTTTCCGTGTATGATTTTCGAGCAATGAATCTTACAATGCTTGAAATACACACGTATAAGAGGGAAAATATCGTTCACACGATCCCATTCTCGCTCCTTGTTCTCTCATTCGATATTCCTAGCGAGATTGCGCTTTAAAAAAAAGATACATATATTCGTCAGCCTGTTGGATTTGCGAATACAGACCAGCTGTCCACTCTGCACGGCCTTTCACGTGATCACAGAGAATCGAGGCTAACGTTAATTATCTCGTGAATACGTATTCGTTTTTTTAAATAAGCTAGCTTAATAACTATCCAGCTTAAAGAAGGTCTGTTCAAACGTTCGTTAAGATATGCTTTAAGTAGTAACAGAACTCCATAGTCAGACGTAAGTTCATATGTAAGTGCATATGGTTGATGCATTGATTTATTTACGAACGAATTCGTATCCACCAAAATTAATTCTAATTGTAACATCGTAACCTCTCGCAATGCTTCTTCATTCGACAACAAAAAAATCACAACGAAACCTGTAAATTAAAAAAGATTTTTTTTAAGTAAAGAAAACAAAGGTATTTTTTTACTAATATAAAATTTGATTTTTTCATTGGAGAATGAGAGAGAGAACACTAAGAGAGGCGTTAGTTATTTAAATAGAATGGATCGGATGTTATCCATTCGAGCTTGACAGGCAACAAATCTGTCCCTACCTCGAGAAAATTTTGCGCACCAGGTGATCCTGAGCTTGATCTAACTGCGGCTCGTTTTTCCTTCTTTCAGCCAGCTCCTTTTCTCGACGGACATCCGCTACCTTCCGGAAGATCAGCTGCACAAAATGATTCGATTCCATTTTACGCGCTTAAATAAGCATAATAACAAGTACACTAGCTCACGAAAGTATTTCAATATCCATGGAACATATTATATGTGTTACGTGAAACAGTTGAAAATTCCAGACTCGACTATTACGACTGTATTGGTAAAGTTTGAGACGAATCTGAAAATACATGCAGAAAATTAAACAAATATTTGACAGAAATATATATTCTGCAGGAGTCACAAAAGTATTTAAACAATCGATTATTCGCTATGTTAATAAACTACAATATAACAATGAAACTGTCTTTAGTACTAAATTGTATATTTAAGACTATTGTTAACATATTATTCGTATTATATACAAGTTTCTTTTTACTAATGTAACAAATATCGAAACAAATATCTTTTTTCATTAATTAACTTTTACCTACATCTTCACATTGATTGCAGATTTGACAAATATAATCGTAACAGTCTCGTCTCATTACTATGATTACATAACCTCAAAATGTTTTACATAACACGTGTAGTAATAATCCGTTTTATCTAATACATACAAGATATACAAGTTCAGATTGTCTTGAAATTGTATCAATATAATCACGGCAGTGCTATCTCATTATTGCGTTAATGAAATTTCAAAATGTTTTACATAACACATACGATATATACATAACATATAATATGTCTTGACATATCCATATATAATCTGTTTTATGTAAACAAATGTATACAATTTCAGATTGGTTTGAAATTTTATCAATATGATATTTGTATCTCGTTATGATAATAATAATGAAATCTCAAGATATATGTATAGTATATACAATATGGACATAAATGTTTTTCATGGTATGTGTTCAAATACATTCATGATCCAGTGTGTATCAATTAGCTTGCAAATGATCCTATACTTTCTAATATTTTCTTACATCTTGTATTTTCTTGCATTTTCTGCAACATTTGCAGAGTATGGAATTCGTTATGGGACGCAGTATGCTCGGCGTAATTAATCAGGATGAACGACACGGCGCAGTTGGAACGACGAGCGATTATTTATGGGGCCCGGAACAATTATTTATGCTCTCGAGTCGCTCCTTTGCTATTATTAATGGTCTAGAACGCGTTGGACCCTTTATCGGCTTTTTTACACCCCTTGCTATGTAGGTGACCATTATTCGAGTGTTAATAATCGTCCTTACGCTTCCACATCATATATATAAAATTATCGAAATAATCGAAGCATCCTTATACAAAACACAAGTGTCAAAATTAAACAATTTTTGCCTATTTTCTAATAAAAAATGTTTTACTTGCCAATGGGAATACATACTGCAGTATAGTAAGTAAATCTCTGCACAGAGTAATCAAACTTGTATATTAAGAAACACCATTAATCTTCAATATAATAACGAAAGAATGTCATGTATATACTTACTTTAAGTCCAGCAAGAAAACTATGAAAAACGAGAAAATGCTTCGAATAACCTTATGGTAAGGTTATTTGAGTCAGTAGCGATATATTACACAAGTATCAATAAAATAAATAGCAAAATAACTTGCAGGAATAGAATAATACACACACACTACTGAATTATGATAATTAATCTGTTTTCAAATATAAATCGTTTAAAAATTGTTTATAAACGAATTTGACGAATTCATTTCACTTAAATAACCCTACTTTTCAAGTATTGCAGTTAACAGTAATGCTAATAGGTAGCACGAACGAGTAAAGAACACTTAAGTGCTACTTCAAACGATGTTAAAATATGTGTACATCAAATATCACTTGGAATATTTTAAAATACGCTTTTGTAATGCATTCTACTCGAAAATGAAAAGAACGTATTAAATAAATATATTTTTAATTTACTATACTTATAGGATTTGTAAATTTAAAAATGAATGGCATATTTAGTTTTCTTTACAATTAAAAGGTGGTAAATACAGAGTTCTCTACAAGTATAATTTTCTTTTTCATGAGTGATGGTGAATAAATGTAAAAAAATAAAAAGATCTTTTAATACATTTCTTATGATTGAGCAGTTCAGAAGTCACATTAATCAACTCTATCAATTGAAAAGTACAGGATAATGACGATATTAAAAACGCCTTTTTTAAAATTTACCTTGAGATCTATCACTATCCGCGTGATTTTCTTGCGATAAGTAAACTGACGGAAGTATGGGAATCAGATATTACTCGTATACTCATATAACAGACTAAAGAAATTGATAAAAAGTGGAGTTGATTAGTTCGGCTTCTGTAAATGTATATCTCTATCTATAAACAAATGAAATTTCGAAATACTAAAGTCAGCTAACTTTTTCTCTCTGTCCTAAAGAAATTTGATTTTTAGCACTTACAGTGTTTCCTATAAGGATGCTTCGATTCTCAGATTCTTTGAACACAACTAACGTTTCCGGAGATGCGAGATGATCTTCGTTCGTTAAGCTTATTAAGAAACGAAATCAACGTAGGTAATTTCAGTATGTAATAACTCTCTATGTTTTAATATTCCTTTACTGGAATAAAACGTAGATAACTCGGGTAATTGAATTTTTTCAGGTAATCCAGTTTCTAACGCCGGGAAAGCGACGCTCCCCTGCTATTTCCTTTTTTCCGGATAGAAAGTTGCAGGTTAAGGGTGGGAGGTTTCGTTTAACTTTACTCTGCACATGCGCGAGTAGAGCAGTCGATAGGCGCACCGTGAGCGCACTAGTAGCAGGTTACTTGCACTTGCGACTAACCTCAAAATATCTTATTTATTGTGTCGGCTCGGGGAAGCTCCCGGACCGCACGAGTTCCGTTTCGGAACTTTGTTTCAGATGCTTGGTGATCCATTCTGAAAGAAAGTACGCGTACTTGCGTACTTCTATTACCGTGATTCGTGTCGAATCGAAGTTTTCACTGGGAAAACTGACGTATATGGATTGATGTGGAAAGTACTCCTCGCGTTCGAAAGGTTTGTAAATCCTTATTTTTTCTCCAATTTCTTACGATTACCAGTGATTTCTAAATCTAGCGACGTATATTATCGTAAATGGCAATGAATTGAAAAATATGCAAAGTAGATCGATTGTTTGATAGTCATATGTTTACACAAGAATGTTTTCTTTATTTTTTGACAGTTGTATGGAACGATTTTTCTGAAAGTAATCGATTTGTTTCAGATGGGTCATGGTTCGAGCCGTTCTGCTTCATCCGCGAATATCCTCTCCGCGGAGGAGCTGACCTTGGTGGAGAATCTGTTCAAGTCCATGTCCCGGAGTTCAGGCTCTATAAAACGCGAAGATATATTCAAACACTGGTCCAGTCATTTGGATGATGTACTACTGCAATTTGTAGTAAGGTTCCTCTGTCATGAACCAGGAAAGAGAGTGTCTGCCATAAACGGAGAGAATTTTGGGAGATTGTATGTGTTTGCCATACGTGGCAGTCCGGAGGAGAGGACTAGCCTGATTTTCAATGGCTTCTCGGAAGAGGAGCAGAAACATGAAATACCCACTACAACGTTCCTTCAATATCTTCAAGCCACCATTAATTCCTACTTGAGACTACAAAAAAACTCTGGGAATGCACACTACTTAACATGGAGCAGCATTGGCTGCACAGTAAACACTAGGAGAATAGGGATGAGATCCAGAAGTTTGTGCGTAGATCTAGTCAAACATGGTGAGACACTGACCACCGAACAAGTAGAGAACTGGTTCTCTACAACAACTACTTTCAATATCATACAATCGCACGTTTTTCAGTGCCTTTTCTTGGTTTCTCAGAAAAAGGGAGACAAGAATGCAAGCAGTAGAATAAACGATTTGAACCTCTTGCCAGGTTGCAAGGGTTTGGAGAATATACCACATTTCCCAAGTATTTTGGGATTGGGCGATGTTCTGTTCTTAAATCTCAGTTTGCCTCATGAGCTTCGCAACGAATGGAGATTTTTATTTTCCAGTCAAGTGCATGGAGAATCATTTTCCACTATGCTTGGAAGAATCACCATGCAAGGATCGACTATTTTAATTCTTCAGGACACCGATGACCACGTGTTTGGAGGTTTTGCCTCTGATAGTTGGAGAATTGGACCAAATTTCATTGGAAACCAATCTTCCTTCTTATTCAAACTTGAACCAGATATACTTACATTTCCTTGCACTGGTTACAACAACCATTTCCAGTACTTAAATCTTCATCAACAAACTATGCCTAATGGGCTGCTCATGGGAGGACAGTTGAATTATCCAGGTTTATGGCTGGACTGTGAATATGGAACTGGAAAATCAAGCTTGTCCTGCACAACCTTCCAGAATTATGTGCAACTCAGTGGCAAGGAGAATTTTAGGATTAAACACTGTGAGGTTTGGGGTGTTGGTCCTATTCCAGAAGTCGAAGAAGAAGAACAAAATGCAAGGTCAGTTTTGGATCAAGATTCTACCTCAAGAGTCATATTAGAGATGTCTGGTCGCAAGATGTACAGTGACGGATTGAGAGAAAAGAAGGAGTAATTGTGATATTAGACATTTGTTGAGATAGTATGGAAAAGAGGAAAAAAGGAAAACATATCAGGCTATTAAAAACTGTATCAGCTTTGTAGAAACAAAAGGAGGTCATTGTATAATGCAATACCTGTAAATGAAAAAATAGAAAAAAAGATGATTCTCTAGTTTTCGTGGAATTGTTTCAACAGAATAATATTAATAGTTATTAAAAAAGATGATCAACAATCGAGTTCTTCAAGCATTTTCTTCTGATTGTTTGCTAGCTGATCTTTTTGAAAAAAAATTTCATGTCCCTGTAACGGCCTGATCTCTCGTACTAATGTCATTTCAAATTGACTCTACCATCGATGGAGCAATATTAAAACAAATATATATATATACAGAGAAAAAAGAAATGAAAAAAAATATTATACCGTACGAGTTGCTGTGTTTTTCGAATGCCTATTATCTAGTGCCTGGTGAATCATCAATCATTTTTAATCGGACTTCTTGATACGCTGAATAAAGTCTATCGACGAGGAGAAACTTGTACAACACATATTCATTACTATTGTTACATAAGACTGTGTGTGTTATTCGTATATGAGTCGGCTGGCGGTCAATGTTCCCTCTGTTCTGTTGAGAGAACAAAGCCAAAGAGCAAACATTGCACTGCTGTTCAGTATAATGCTAAGAGTTCAATAAAGAATTGAAACCTCGAAATTTCAAATCTTTTCTTTACCCTTCACTCTTTACCTTTCTTTATTGCAAATCAATTTGAATTTTTTTAATCATCTAATATTTCAATTTGGCAAATTTCAAAATAGCAATCTTCGAAAATAGAATTTCAAATTAACTATTTTGAAGATACTCGAAACTTCAAATTAGTGACTCTTAAAATCAGAAAATTTTAAACTAGCAATTTTTAAAAAATTACCGAGATTTGAAATTTTGGCAATTTTTAAACTTGCCTATATTTGAAATTAGTAATTTTTTCCCTGACTGAAATTTCCAATTCGTGATTTTTGGAATCACTAATTCCACTTATTGACTTTGAAATCCCCAAAATAAAAAATTAACGATCCTTAAAATAATCAAAGTTAAATTCCAAGCCATCAAAAGTTAAAATAAGAAATTTTTGAGAGAAAGAGGACCAAAATTCCTAATTGGCAACGTACGATATCATCAATGCTTCAAATTGGCAATTTATAAACTCAGGAAAATTACAAATTCTGTAAAGAAGTTATTTAAAACAATATGGAAAGATATTAAAAATTTCAAACGAATTTTACATCTGAAATAAACAAACAGCAGCACTTAATCTGTAAATTAAGTACGTCTGAAATAATCAATAAAACAAAACAAAAATAAAAATAAAAGCAAAATCTAAGAAACACTCACCCGATGGCTAAGGTTGTAAGTCAGAACGAGGTTCCTGGCAAAAGAATTGGCGAAAGCCTGATAAAAATCCAACACCTCCAGCAACCGATCCCTCTTGATCGTGTGGAGATCACAGTAAGTAAGAGCTCGAACATTGGCAGCGCTTTGTCCTACGGACGGGTTTGTCCAGAAGCTGTCGCCGAACACGTCACCCTTGCCGAGGATCGCCACGACCTCGTCATCCTGTATCACCTCGAGACTTCCGGTCACGATGAAGCACAACGAATCGATAGACTCGCCTGTGTGATACAATAGATCGCCTGGCGCGCTGTGAGACATCGTGAAATGCATCGCCAGAGCGCGGAGGCAGCCATCGGAGGCCAATCTGAAGACAAAAGTGTATAAATATGATTGTACATATTAATTATAAATCATTATAATTACAAGTCACGATATAAGGATTACAAAAATCAAGACATATCGATAAAAGATACATGAGTACCGTACAATTTCTCAAAAACGAATGACTTAGGTATATAATTAATTGTACATTGCAGGAAAAATTTTGTTAGGTTATACGCGCCACATAAGGACATCTCTATGCAAGAATACACTAAAATCTAAGAAGAGTGACGAAGCTTGCCTAAATGCAGGGTGTTCGTTGAAGACCTTCCTGTTCAGATGAACGCAGATATCCGCCTTCATATCCTTGGGGCAATAGTTAAGTACCTTGTCGGTGTCTAGGCCCTTGGTCATCGCCCAGGTGCTCACCACGTAATCCATCACGCGTTCGCTAAGCGCCTTCGGCACCTCGTGCAGCTTCATGAACTCCCTCACGTTGTTCAGCATGTCGTGATATTTGGCCGTGGCCGATGTCATCTGTTGGATGATCGTAGTCACGTGACCGAAGATCGTGGCGTACAACAGAGCTGCAAACAATCGAACAATTTTACAGATTTATAGATCAATTCAAATAGAATTTGACAACGATAAATTAGCTAAAACGATAACGCCTGATTGTCAGTCAGGAAGACACCGATTTAAACTCTTTGAGTTTCAAATAAAATTCTAAGGTGCTCGAAAGTTCACAAACTAGTCCAGTAGAGAGTAGTTGCAAATTCGTGTTTGTCGTGACTCGAGAGATAAGTATGTTAAAACGGATATTACGTCTAAAACTATTTGCGAGAGAACCGCACGACGTAGGTATTCCAAATTAAAACCGATACACTCTGTGCAAACTCGTGAAAATTTGTGGAATTAAATTTTGCACAATCTCCTTCCTCTAAAAGTCTGAAAGTGGTAATCAGATTACGAATACTGATGCATTTATGAGAAAAGCGAAGGCATTTTAAAATTAAGAAGTCACAGAGGTAAAAAGGCAAAAATATGTGAACTATCCAAAATATCTAACATTTCTTGTATAATATTTAGTAAGTAAAAGAAATCTCCATTTAGATTGAGGTTAGGTTCTTTACAATCCCAACATTCGCTCTTGAGGATACAAAAATTTTATTACCAATTGGATACCTTAAAAAGATAAACTGATAAGTACCTCGTAAACTTCAATTAAGTAATAAAAGGAAAAAATTGAAAAATCATACCGGCAATGATCATCATGCAGATGGTAAAAATCTTCTCGTTGTCGGTCTCGGCGGCGACGTTGCCAAAGCCCACGGAGGTCATGCAGGTCATTGTGAAGTACAATGCAGTGACATACATGGTTCTCCTGGACGGTCCTGCGATTAGTTCCGGTGCGGTGCTGGTATTGGTCCACAGATAGCTGTACGGTGACTGGGTGACGTTCGCCAGCTTCCACAGCCAGGAATACTGGACTCCGTTGTCCGCGTCCGACCTTCCTATCGAGTACCTTTAACCCAACAACCCTTCTTATTATTCTCGTCATATTCATCTTTCTACCATTTTACATTCTCTAATACAGGCTATAAAATATAATAGAAATATACAGAGAGTTTTCAATTTTCCTGGATAAATTGCTGAGACAGGATTTACAAATGAGCCTCTCAGAAGGCAAATTAATCCAACCGTACTTTCTACGAAGTTGTCAATCTTATATTATCCTAATACATAATTAGTATTCGATGATTCAAGAAAGAGATCTTATCTTTGCAAATATGAGTACAAATGTAGTTGTGAATTTATATTTTCGTGAAGGTACAATTAAGGGAACAAAACTTGGATAGAAATTTGTATCCTCTAGTAGATATAATACTATAAGCAATACTTTAAGTATTCCATACATTTTGAACACATTACATTGTCCTATCTCTAAATCTTCTACAATAGCATAAGCACATTTTCAAAATAGTAGTAAAGAATTTACAGCACAACTTCATATATAACATTTTTCATAGTTAAAAGTGAAGAAAATTGAAGATTTATTGTCGTCACTTGTTCAAAATACTATAATAAATAATATCATTTTTAACATATATTAAATCAAAATTATATCACGATTAATAAGAATAAATATTCAAAATATTTGCTCATCATTTTATAATACAGCCTGTACAGTATAACTTTACTCGCTAAGTAAAACACCTGGGGATCTGCAAGTACCTCGATACTACCTTGAAAAATGAAAAATGTAGATAAAGTATTTTAACTAGTAATATGTAACTATTTTCTTCAATTAACGTTCTTATCTTCTATCCCATTATACTGTTGCAGTTTTCTCAGAAAAATTGGAAACACCCTGTACAAATAAAAGGCGAATAGGGTTCTCTGAGGACGCGTGAAAGAAGCACGCATGCTTTTTGGTTGGCTAAGATTCGTGTTGAAAAGCGTTCTCTCTCCATGTTCCTCTTTAGTCTTGACCGTTATCCTTGCTTCCATTTCGTAACTGTTCTTCCACTTTTCTTTCTCTGCTTCCTGTCTCACTTTTTTCTCTTTTGGCTATTCTTTGGAACGAAAAAATATCTGGCAAGAAGGATCACGGTCAAACACTCGAAGCTTCTTTTGGAAACGAGGACGGTTCGCCAACAGAAGATAATAGCGTTTCGAGCGAAAGAGCTCCTGTTACGTTCGTGGTTTCCCGTGATCGTCGATTCGACGATGGAGAACGTCTAAAGGACACGGAGGCTCTTTGTCGAGGAAACGAGCGGAAGGTTAGCATCGTCGTCGACTTTATTCTCTTGCACTCGAGAACAAGCCTCCTTTTTTCTCCATATTTTTCTCTTCTGTACTCTCTTTCTCTTTCACTCGCTCTTTCGTACTCTCTCTTTCTCTCTCTCTCTCTCTTTCTCTTCTGTCCTCGTCATCTTCAAAGAGGAGGCAACGTTAGTTTGAAGCGCTACTTCGTTTATGCCGCTTCGAGCGGGGAAGAAGCGAAAATAATTAAGAAGCGAGGTGAAGGAACTAGGCAGCAGCAGTTTTAATGCGACGTTTCTTCGCGTTCTTTTTCTTTTTCGATTGTGTGGCTGATCGATCTCTGCCCTGTATTCGCTGCATATCGCAGATATCGGGTCATCCTGAACCTTTTCATTATTTTTGAATAATACAAGCTTTTAGCATAAAAGTACTTCTATCTTAAAATTCAGTATCTTCGTTTACCAATACCGGTACTATAATACTTCTGAATAATATAAGCTTTTAGAACAAAAATACTTCTGTGCTAAAATTCAGTATCTTCGTTTACCAATACCAATAATATAATTCTTCTGAATAATATAAGCTTCTAGAACAAAAGTACTTCTGCCTTGAAATTCGGTATCTTCATTCACTAATATTAATGGTACTATTTTTGATACATTTTGAACATTGGCATAAGGATTGTAATATCAAATTCAAATTATCTTGTCGATCTTCAATGAACATCTTCTATTCTAATACCATCTTGATATGATCTTCATACAGTCTTTAAGTGCCTTTGAAGTAACTATAGTCTTGAAACGCTCCTCGGATGCATCTTGTATATCACGTTGGAATAAATTGTACAGAACATAACGACGATTACTAAAAAATAAATAAATAAATAAATAAATAAAACTATATTAAATGTCAGAAAAAATATATTCTTTTAACACAAATCTTCAGGATGACCCAGTTAGCTCTCGTTACTATTCTAGAAGCCATGGCAAACTGATTCCTTTCGGGAATGTTCCATTTTTTTTTAGACAAAATAAAAGTAGATCGAGATTATGATATCTTTTGCACAATTCCCGGCGGAACGAGAGTGCTATGCTGTTTTGTAAAAGCGGCACGGCATATCCTGTGTGCACGTGTACATGTTCTGTATATGTGTGTATGTCCATGTATGTATATCTCTATTTGTGTCTAGGTAGCACTTGATGGAAAATGTTAGGTTGAGAAAATCGGGGGGGTGGGGTAGGGATAACGACGTCTAAGGTTTGATTTAGCCGTCAATCCTGCCGCAGCCGTGTTACCTTTTTGTGTGTGGGCAGGGTAAAATCACCTTAAAGTGACGTACCAGACACAGGCCAGCCAGTGAGCAACCAACATGTAGAAACAGAGCAGTAGAATGAGCATCGCGGCTCCATACTCCAGATACCGGTCTAGTTTCCGAACCACTCGACCAAGACGAAGCAATCTGACCACCTTGAGAGCCGAAAACAGGCTCCCTATGCCGTCCTCGTCGTGGTCGAACGCGTTGAACACGTCGTACGGCAGGCAGCTCAGAAGATCGATGATGAACCACGACTTTAGGTAGTTCATTCTGATCACCTGTCGTTTTAATGGGAAATTACATTAGACAAAGTCTTATAACGAGTTGTTCTGAGAGCAAGTGAAGCACACAGAGGCGAGAACAATTGTAAAAGATATTTTTGCCACGTGACAGAAAACAATGGTAAAGAAAAATGACTTGACACAATTTTCACCAATGGTCTAGATTCCCAGTTTTAACTTTGTCCGGATGAATCCCTGAGAATATCTAGAGAATTCTTCGATGATAGCTATCCTCTGATACCACGACATTGTTAAAATAGATCGCGGTACATGGAAATTTGACATTTTTCCAACTTGGCAAATCCTACGCTTTAAAATTCCTCGGAATTGGAAAATTTCATAGTTTGAAATTAAAGATAACGTTGCAATGTATTTCAGTATCCATAGATTTTTCAACAGCTAGCTGTCAGGGAAAAAGAGAACAAGAAGAGGGATAATTTCAAAGCGAACTTTTACATAAAAGTGAATAATGTTGCTAATGTATGAGCTTTCGCGTGCAACGATGGGAACCTGAAAGCAGCCGGAGGATTCTCGCTTCTCTGATTTTACGCTAAAACAATGCAAAATAGAATCTGGCGTAGAATCACAGGGACCTTTTGCACAACGAAATCGACGAACAAACCTTTGACGAGTGTGACAGTTAACGCACTTTTGTCTACAATTATGGAATTATCCATTTGAAAGGTAACGTTTATCGAGTATAACATTGTATTTAATACATTTATTCGTTCTCCACGCATTTCCGTACTTACATGGCCTCTACTTTTCTCTATAGAAACCCTATTTTCTATAAAAGTCGCGGTTAAACTGCAGATATGTACCTTGGGCTAATGATCAATTGTCAAGCCAAACCAAACCGGTTTTTCATGGTGTTTTTGGTTTTGCGAGGATATTTGTACCTTGGGGTCAGACACCACCTCGCCACCAGGTCCAACGAACGTGGTGTGAAAATTGAGGACAATGTCGATGAAGAATATGACGTCGACGATGCTGTCGACGACCAGCAGGGACACGTCCTCGCTGGTCTTGTTTTTGAACGCGACGTTGTAGGGCACCATGATGGCCGTGTAAAAGGTCAAACATAAAATGATCCAGTCCCAGATCGCCTTGAACGCGCAGTAATGTAACAAAATGTGCGGCGGGGTCTTTGGTGCCTCTTGTCTGTACTGCGGCATCACGTCGCCGCTTAAGGACATCATCTGAAAAATGAAAATTATATTAGCGTTATGCATCGATTATGCATTGTTTCAGAGAGATGAAAGAAAATGAAGGAATATTTTTACGAAATATTTAATGATTGATTTTACTACCTTTCGATTTTCGAGTTAAAATTCTCTTCTTCTTTTGCTTGTGAATTTAACAACGAGTTTTATTTCTCTTCTTTCTCTATGCTCCTGCTGTTGCTTACAGACAGGCTTTGAATTTTGATAAACGTTTCAGGGGCTTGAAATCAGGCGATAAACGCAGCACAGCTCATGCATTTAAATATTGACGATTACAATAATCCAGCAATCTCGAACACGTACAAATGGTCTGCGAACCCGTTAACATTTCCATGCAAATCTCTTCGAAACGGGAACGAATCTCCAACGCGAGTAAATCTTCATCAGACACGTTCGAATACAAATGGTAGTTGGTGCGAGTGACAAAATCAAAATCGAAACAGCTTACCGAATAAAGTGGCAGGACTTTTTAGCTAAAATGATTAGATGTAATGTTATTATGATTGTTATTTACTTTATTTATTTTTATATTCGCTGGCTTGGATAGAGTGTAGGATGACCCAAGTTAGAAATTCAGAAAGAATTGCATGCGAATGAGTTAATTAATTGGTTGTTCTGGGGTTGATTAATCGATTTGCAATTAGTTGTAAAAATTTCAAATTTCAAAGTCCAAACTCTCTGACAATTGAAACTGTTGTATAGAGTTTCAGCATTTTAATGTACATTCAGTAACTTGAATATTTTGTTGATTGTACTGAACAAAGACTATGACCGTGCTTATGCATTTGTGGGAAGTTTAAAGAAGTAAAAATGTAAAAATGTACAGGGTCTATGACATCCGTTGTGATAGTCTTCAAAGGTTAATTTGTATTTATAAGAATATGAATTTCTATAAAGAAACACGACTCAGTGATTTTGAGAATGATCAGGCAAGTAACAAGGATTAATTGATTGATTGAAAAGGAGTGAAACGTTACTTATAAAAATATGAATTTCTGTAAAGATTGACAGTTGGACGGCTTTAAAAATGACTAGGCAAGTTACAAGGATTAATTAACAAATTAACTAATAAAAGTGTGAATTTCCATGAAGATCCACAGTTCAGTGACTTAAAAAATAATTAGGTAAATTACAAGGATTAATTGACAAATTAAAAAAGAAAAAGGGAATATTACTCATAAGAATTTGAATTTCCACAAAGATCACACAGTTCAGTGACTAAAGAACGACTAGGTAAATTAGGAAGAATAAGGAACAATTAATAAATTAAAAAGGAGAGAAATATTGCTCATAAAAATGTGAATTTTCACAAAGATCCACACAGTCCAGTGACTTGAAAAATGACTAGGTAAATTAAAAAGAATAAGGAATAATTAACAAATTAAAAAAGAAAAGAGAATATTACTCATAAAAGTGTGAATTTCCATAAAGATCCACAGTTCAGTGACTTAAAAAATAATTAGGTAAATTACAAGAATTAATTAACAGATTAAAAAAAAAAAGGGAATATTACTCATAAAAATGTGAATTTTCACAAAGATCCACACAGTTCAGTGACTTGAAAAATGACTAGGTAAATTAAAAAGAATAAGGAATAATTAACAAATGAAAAAGTAGAGGAATATTGCTCATAAAAATCTGAATTTCCATAAAGATCCACAGTTCAGTGACTTAAAAAATAATTAGGTAAATTACAAGGATTAATTAACAGATTAAAAAAGAAAAAGGGATTATTACTCATAAGAATGTGAATTTCCACAAAGATCCACACACTTCAGTGACTTGAAAAATGACTAGGTAAATTAAAAAGAATAAGGAATAATTAACAAATGAAAAAGTAGAGGAATATTGCTCATAAAAATCTGAATTTCCATAAAGATCCACAGTTCAGTGACTTAGAAAATAATTAGGTAAATTACAAGGATTAATTCAGGAATGAAAAAGCAGATAGAATATTATTCGTGAAGATGTGGATTTCCACAATGATTTACAATTTGTTAACGAGTCTGAAGGTCTGCCTTCCATCGAAAACGAGAAACTTGTAAATTAGATAGATCGATCAACTAATTTAGTAAAACTCCTACTAAGGAATCAGTAAGATATCTTACATGAGCTAAATGTGATTGCTTCGCGGTGGTTGGCAACGCGGTATCCTTGAGGGCGGGCAGATGGGAGCTGAATTGTGATACAAGAACAGATCTCGACCTGGTGACCGATCTGGCGAGTTTGGCGAACTTGGAGAGGCCACCCTTGCTGTCGTCCGCCTCGATTGGCTGCTTCAGGGCAGTGATGTCCCGGAAGGTCAACAGGAACAGGACCACCAGGTCCCGTTCGTTTTTTATTGGCGCTATTTGTAGAAGCAGCCATAGTGGTGTTTCTATATGTCCGCAACAACAGAACGGAGAAAAGCGTCATTCGTTGGCTAATTGCGATTCGATAATTACATTCTATGTATCTGTTTCTATCCTTGACTAATTGGTACATTGTGGTCAACCTAATTAGCTAAGTATTTGCCTTTTGTACAGTGGATATTAAGATATAATTGGCTACCTTGCAGGAAGGCTCTTTTCTATCGGGCATGTTAAATATTTCTTTTTTATTTTTTTCTTTTATTAGAGAGACATTAAATATTATTTTTAATACGAGTTTTGCAATGTCTTTATTTTTATCCATTTTCTTTTTTTCTTTCTTTCTTTCTTTCTTTCTTTCATTGCGTATCTTCCTTCCTTTCTTTTGCCTGTCTTTCTTCTTTTCTTCTTTTCTTCTCTGGCCACGCTTCTTTTACTTTTACCTTCTTTCTTTTGGTTTCTTTCTCTGTTCCTTTCCTTTAACTTTGTTGGGATTAGACAGATTGCTTGAATTCAAACAGCCTGTAGTATCCTAATGGAAACCTAAATAACGGGTTCATATCCATAATACTTAACTTGAAAATCGTTCTCATCAAATCCAATTATTCCAAGTTGCTTGAATTCAAGTAATTTGACTAATCCGAATGAGGTTTCTTTTCTTTTTTTCCTTCCTTCTTTTCTCTCTCTCTCTCTCTCTCTCTCTTCCTTTCTTCCCCATTTTTCTCTTCTTTCTCTTCTCTTCCTCCCCTTCTATTTCTTCACTCTGCTTTTCATTTTCTCACTCCTTTCTTCCTTTCCCTTCCTTTTTCTCTTGTCTTCCTTTAACAAGAATGAAATCTATGTAATGTGACACAAAATTTTATATTTTTATAGCCAAACTCACTCAAGTCCTTTATAACAATAAAAAAAAAAGAAAAAAAAAAGAAAAGAAGAAAGAAGAAAAAATATATAACTATTTCCTTTACTTCTGCTTCTTTGAAAAATAGGAACATTTTACATAAATCAAATAATCCTTCCTGCAAGACACGTTTATTATTCATTATCCATCATGCTACGAGCATTCAAGAAGCAATCATCTAAATACTAACAAGCACATACAATGCGATTTACAATTAGTGAATACGATTCATTTGAATTGGTGAATATATGACCATTACTATACTACTTAGATATTTCGAATACAATGATTATCGTAGTTTAATTATAACTAATTGGAAATTAAATGTTCGAAGTACTAAATAGCTGGAACAAAGCATCGATAAAATGATCAGAGTGTGCTGTATAACTAATCCATTGTAATAAATGTGAACTCATGCCACCATTCGAATGTCGTGTGTGTGGAGTGCGTTCATTCGTGTGTCATTAAGGTGAATTTATACTTTTGCACATTGTATGTGCACTGCGCATGATTTAGCCACAGTGATTAGGGAAAAAATTACAGCTGCAGAAATATACGAAATTTAGGGTTGAATTCATTCGATTAGGTTTGAAAATGTCAGCGAAATTTCAAATTCTGGTAATTTCAAATGTGTTGGAAATTGCAAATTTTTGCAGCTACTCAATTAGTAGGAAATATTAAATTTTGGAGATCTCAAGAGCATCATCTTGAATATTACAAAATTCGAGAATTCCAGATGTTGGGAATTTTAGGTCTTGGAAATTTCGAATTTTTGAAATTCCAATTTTCAGAAACCCAAATTTTGGAGATCTCAAGTGTATTTTAAGTCTTGGAAATTTCCAATTTTTGAAATTCCAATGTTTGGAAATCCAAATTTTGAAAATTCCAAGTTCTGGAAGTTTCAAAGTTTGAAAATTACAGATGTTGGCAATCTTTAAATCTGAAAATTTTAAGTCTTGGAAATTTCCAATTTTTGAAATTCCAATGTTTGGAAATCCAAATTTTGAAAATTCCAAGTTCTGGAAGTTTCAAAGTTTGAAAATTACAGATGTTGGCAATCTTTAAATCTGAAAATTTTAAGTCTTGGAAATTTCCAATTTTTGAAATTCCAATGTTTGGAAATCCAAATTTTGAAAATTCCAAGTTCTGGAAGTTTCAAAGTTTGAAAATTACAGATGTTGGCAATCTTTAAATCTGAAAATTTTAAGTCTTGGAAATTTCCAATTTTTGAAATTCCAATGTTTGGAAATCCAAATTTTGAAAATTCCAAGTTCTGGAAGTTTCAAAGTTTGAAAATTACAGATGTTGGCAATCTTTAAATCTGAAAATTTTAAGTCTTGGAAATTTCCAATTTTTGAAATTCCAATGGTTTGGAAATCCAAATTTTGAAATTCCAAGTTCTGGAAGTTTCAAAGTTTGAAAATTACAGATGTTGGCAATCTTTAAATCTGAAAATTTTAAGTCTTGGAAATTTTCAATTTTTTAAATTCCAATGTTTGGAAATCCAAATTTTGAAAATTCCAAGTTCTGGAAGTTTCAAAGTTTGAAAATTACAGATGTTGGCAATCTTTAAATCTGAAAACTTCAGGTCTTGGAAATTTCCAATTTTTGAAATTTCAATGTTTGAAAATCCAAATTTCGAAAATCCCAAGTTCTGGAAATTTCAAATTTTGAGAATTCTAGACATTGGCAATCTTTAAATCTGAAAACTTCAGGTCTTGGAAATTTCCAATTTTTGGAATTCCAAATTTCAGATATCTTTCGTTTTGGCAATTTTAAATGTTGGAAATACCAAATGTTGAAAATTCCAGATGGGAAATTTTAATTTTAGAAATTGCAAATCTTTTGTAAGTTTCAACCAAATGTTGAAAATATCAAAATTTTAGAAATCCAAAACAAGTTCAATCTTCAAAAACGTGAAATTTCAAAAATTCCAGGCGCTGTACAAATTCTTGTTTTCCGAAAATTCACGTCTTGGATATCTCCAGTTACGAAGATCCCAGATTTTGGAAATCTTAAATTTTGCCAATCGCAAACGTTGAAAATTCCGATAGATGCCGCGTTTCGCGAATTTCATATCCAGCGAATTTCAAATATCCAGCAGTCCGAATATTGTACATGCAAAAACGAGTTGAACCACTGTGAATGAATCATCCGCCACGCACATCCAAAACATCCAGAACATCCAAAATATCCAAAACATCCAAAACATCCGTTTCAAAATTCGTCATTGTTTCAAGCAGTGCTCGATCGTTTGGTGGTGTGTGAGTAAGTAGTTTGATCAGAGAAATTGGCGATGCAGTTCAAAGAAGAAACTAAACTGAAAGTGAAAGAAAAAAGAAGGAACATTAGTTGCAGAAATTCTCATATAAATTTTCTAATAATTCGTGCCTAATATTCGTCTTAATTACAATTCCTTGTGTACGTTTCACCATTAAACAAATAATTACACTTCTTTTAGTGCCAGGTACAATGGGAGAAACGAATATTGGAAACCGGAAATGCTACAACAGTTTGTCTTTACATTGGCGAGCCTATGTCAATTTTCCTTTTGGTAGAGCAAATGTATACCTTGTTGATAATTTCTTTAACGATCGTATACCATCCAACTTTGAGTAATTCGCACCCTGGTGGTTGAGTTTCTCGAGAATAAGCAGCTAACGAGTCATCCAAGACCAGAGGAATGTATTTTCTTCTTTTTTTTTTTTTCTTTTTATTCTATACAACACGTGCAATTTACAACTATAAAAGCAAAAATATTTGCTCCCTCGTCTTTGATGGCTCGAATTTTTCGTTCCACCACTACTTGGCTGTTCCTGGCGATACTGAGTGCTGGCTCGGGGCTAATCGGCGGTGCTTTAGTGCGAGTAGGCCGCACAGGGTTTGTAATCCAACCTTAAATTCCATTTCCTTTACGATTCTTCAACGCAATTGGAACTTTGGTCAGTCCGCGAGCTTTTCTCTTACACGAGCCAATTACTCGATCTTCCTTTCAATTTCTTACGATTCGGTAAACTAACTCAGATAATCGTCCGCGTCTAATAAAAATAAAATTCGATTCAATTTCTCAACGTAATATTGACTTGACAACTAAGTGACTGCGGATTTTGTCAATACCACCTAGTGACAAAATTCGCAATCACTTAGTTACCAACCCAGTAGTTTCTATGAAACGACTTGAACGACTCTCGATGTAGCAATTCTTCTCAATAAAGCAATTTCCAATACAAGTGGAAGTTTCATATATTTTTTTACAAGACGCATGGACGCTTCTGTACATCAAATATCGTGGTTCATTGATCCGTAAGGATTTCCACCGATAAATAGTCTCGTAAAATACGAAAATTTACGTCTGCACGTCTGTACGTCACAGACATATTCGTTCAATGATTAATAATTCGTGGCAATGATGAAAATCGATGGCCATCGGCAGATGTTAAAAACGTTAAAAGATCATTCACGAAAAAACAGAAGAAAGAAATAAAATGAAAAAAAAGAAGATTAAGAAAAGAACATTTTAAGAGAAACACTGCACAAGAGTCGATGGATATTTCCGAATGTATTCGTGCGGATTTGTTAGTATTTTTAAGCACTGTTTTTAAGTCGATTAAAAGATGACTGTGAAGAGAAGAAGATAAATTATACGAAAACGTAACGAAAGGAAAAAGTGCGATTTCTTAAATTTGCGAATTTTTATTCTACGCCGATGCGTGTCTTTACCACGGCAAGGACGTGCAATGATAAATGTCCTTCAGTCTGGCGAACACTTTTATCAATTTTTTCCCTCTTTTGTGCTCCGTCATCCCTATCGTCCCCTTAAATTTGTAATTTTCCATCGCGAGTTTCTTCGCTTCTGATTTTTTAATATTTCCAAATATACTCGGTTTGCCGATCGACATTCGGGAAAAAGAAGAAAAAAAAGAAAAAAAATGAAAGAATTTCACGCGCCTTCAAAGAGTACTTTTTTATTTTTTTTTAATTTGGGACACGCGAATCAACGATTTTCATCAAATTCTTATCGCTTCGACATCTACGTGTCGTTTAAACGCGTTTGCATATTCCATTCGTCGATCTGCTCGCCATCCACGATTTATCATTTTCGCAGTTACTTAATTTACCGAACCGAACTTCGATAACCAATCGTTTTAAACGTCGTACATTCTCCGATAATTTCCATCGAATCTTCGTTTCCACGATATTTCGATGTTATTGAAACACGTATTGAAATTAATCGCACATCGATCTCCACCTTCCACGCTTCGTAATAAACCCGGCGTTTATTTCATTCTTTCGGTGACCATCGATTCGTAGAACATTCCGTACGATCGCTGCTAGACGTCGTTAATGCCACAGCTGAGAAAATTTCACATCACCTTTATCGAATTTTAGCCAACTTCTCTGCTTTGCTTGTCTCTGTCTTCGTCACGTGACACGCCATATATATATTAAGTTGCCCGAAAAGTTTCTTTCCTTTTATGAGGAAATAATAGACGCACAACGTTTTTTGTATTATATTATTTGTCGAATTACGTACGATCCATTTTGGTCTGTTAAGATAAACACCGTGACATTTCACAGACTTGATTTCACGTTTGTACGAAGGAGCACTGTTGTAAAAAACAAGTTTGCGAAAGAAAGACACTTTCCGGATAACCTAATATTATGTTAGGTTACCCGAAAAGTTTCTTTCCTGTTATGAGGAAATAATAGACGCACGTTTTTTGTTTTATATTATTTTGTCGAATTACGTACGATCCATTTTGTTCTGTTGAGATAAGCACCATGACATTTCACAGACTTGGTTTCACGTTTGTATGAAGGTGCACTGTTGTAAAAAACAAGTTTGCGAAAGAAAGACACTTTCCGGATAACCTAATATATATACATATAATAGCATATTTCTTTGTATTACGTAATATTATATATATTATTTTTATTTTATTTCTTTACATAAATATATATTAGGTTGGCAACTAAGTGATTGCGAATTTTGTTAATACCACCTAACGACAAAATTCGCAATCACTTAGTTGCCAACATATATATGTGTAATTACATGAGTTTGGCGTCAGAGGGCAGCTACATTGCGTTAAAAATTGACAAATTACATATTTAGAGAAATTTACAGTTTGAAAATACATTTGAAAGTACATTTTGAAAATTTAGAGCCTCTCTGAAACGTACGTATTTCAAGCGCAGTGCCACGATCGACGCCGCCAAGCAACGATAGTGAGTTATTCTCAGTCGTGGAATTATTTTCAGATATTTTGTCCAGTTGAATTTCATCTTCGCGGATGTTCGAACGAATTTCCAATCGATTACAAACCCCGCACGAGATGGTTTCTTTGAACAAAAGGGAAATATCATTTGTCTACGAAGGGCCACCTATATATTACGGCTAAATAATGGTAATTACGAGTGTTTTCGATTGTGACGAACTGGAGCTCGCCACCTTTTAGATAGTCAACGTTAATCACAACGACCTCGCAATAGCCTCGATTAAGACGAAACACACGGCCAACTTACTCTCTGCTTGCCTACGTGCCTGGCGAACTTTGCCCGATCGATTATAGAAAGTGAACGCCATAATTGTTCAACGATCTTATTTTCTGCACGACGACACCGCTACGATTTTTGTGAAAATTGAAACGATCGTTTGGCAATCAATGAAAATCTTTTTTTTTTGTAGCAACGAAGGGTAGAATTGTTAGAAATTAAACGAACAGTGGGAATATGTTTCTTCGCGTCGATATTCGCGACTAAATTTTCGAGTATTTTTCGAGTATTTCGAGAATATTTCGTATGTTTGAAATTGACGAAATTTGGGATTTTTTAGATTCCGGTCTTTCGGTATTCAGAGTTTGGAAATTATCGGACTCTCAAAGTTTGGATTTTCAAAATTTGCATGTTTTAGAAATCCGAGTCGACAACAAATTTGGGATTCTCGAAATTCGCTATTTGCAAAATCTGGATTTCCCGAAATTGGAATTTTCCAAAATTTTTCCAAAATTCGAGCTTCCCAAAATTTCAGACCTACAACCGGAAAATTTGGATTCTTTAAAATTTGCGGTTCGCGATACCCGGATTTTCCAAAATTCGCAATATCCAAAATTCGAACATCTCAAAATTTCAGTCCTGCGGAACTTTGGTTTTCCAAAATGACTTTCGAAATTCGGAATGTCCAGACTTTCGCTTCCAAAATTTCCCCTTTCCAAAATTTGCGATTTCCACGGGAACAAGATTTCCCAAACGTTCGTCTCGAAGTAAAAACGTCTCGAAACTACCATTTCGTTGACGAAAAGAACAACGTTAAAAATAAAATACAGAAATTTCTTCAATACTGTGTAGATATCATCTCCGCGTGAAAAATAGCTTGAACATTCCCAAAAATCGTTTTCTAAAAAATCGTTACTACGGAAAAAGACTGTACCCAAGCAATAACGACTAAAATCCGGAACGGTAGTATTCATAGAAAAAAAAATCGTAGAGAAAAGAGAAACACAAATGATAAATCGTGGAGATAAATCGTCGTAAAGAATGGCGTGTCGTTCGCCTGGCTGGCAAAAGGACAAAATCTGGCAAAAATGCCGATAGATACGTGTTGTAATACGTGTGTCTAGTACTTAGGACAAAGATTTCAGGGGGGAATTAACTGAAATCAAGAGTAGGTGGGAGGTCGAATAGCGTCCTCTCAATATGGCCGCCCCTTGGTCCCGGGATCGTTCGACGATCCTTGTACGTGTGTCGTCTCTTGTTCAGGCTAAAGATGGGTGTATAACAATCGTATACAATATACCTCGAAATGTACATTAATACAATATCTGTAGATACACAGTTATCTCACATCGATTGATATTCGGTTATGATGTTTAATCTGTATTGGTAATTTCGTACAGGAGAAGATGATTTAACGCTAACGTTAGCAGGTCCGGTTTGAAAATTTCATTTCAAGTTGTACATTCATCGTTATTTTTCTGTTTTTTTTTAATGTCAGAATTTACGTAAAGTTAGAGGAGAAATAACGACGAAGGTGCAATTTAAAATTAAATTCTCAAACCGGTCGTTGTTATCTGATTAATCAATTTTTCAATTTTTGTTAATGTCAGAATTTACGTAAAGTTAGACAAGCGGAAAAAATAAAGACGAAAGTGTAATTTGGAATTAAATTTTAAAACTGGTCGTTGTTATCTTATTAATCAATTTCCCTATTTTTGTTAATGTCAGAATTTACATAAAGTTAAACGAACAAAAGAGACATTTTAAATTAAATTTTGGAAGCAATTATTTCACCGGGCCTGGTATGGTTAGCGTTAAACACAATATCGCTTATTTTACGAGAATACGAACCATTCATAGCAACTTCAAAGTACAATAAACAATTTCTTTCTAAAATTGATGAGATCGATCGAACCATAGATTTTGAAGAAAAAATTCTCTTATTTCTACGTCACTGAAATACATGGAAGCTTATTTACGCTCCGTAACATAATCCACATAGTAATCTTTACAAATGGCTAGAATTGCGAAATAGATTTATCTCGCACGACTAGCGACACACCTAGCGTCTAACGTGACACGAAAGGGGGAAACAATTTTGACAAACAGATAACTTACGATATTGGGTTGTCCGACAAGTTTCTTTCGTTTTATAAGAAAATAATAGACGCACAATATTTTTTTTATATTAATTTATTGAATTATGCACGAACATAATAATAGAAATATAACGAAATGGATCATACCTAATTCAATAAAATAATATAAAACAGAAATTGTTGTTCATTTATTATCACCTTATGAAACGAAAGAGACTTTTCGGACAACCTAATACATCGTAATAAATAAGTTCAAATAAATATAACAAATCAAAAATAAATTAAAACAAAAGTTAGTGAGAAATTGCACGATTATCAGTCTCAATCGCAGCACATATTTCGAGGAGGATTTAAAGAGGAAAATGCTTCGATCACAAGCATTTTCTTCCCAATTTACGAAACGAACAGGGCAATTTCATTTTCGTGAAAAATCTATCCGTACGGTTAAACGTTATCGTTAAGAAGAGAACATTTTTCACACGTATTTTCAAGCTACGACAAACATCTGATATTCTCGTACAACAAGCAACATGATATCCAAATCATCGTCTTCTATACGAAGCAACGAATACGGAGACTCTACCGAATATTAATATGTCTAACTGTATACTTATATTTGCGTATATATCTATGTATAAATATATATAAACTATAGATATATATATAATAAATTAGGTGTTTTGTTATAGTTTTTGTTATAGTTAGATTCGAGGGTGACTTACTGGTGGGTTTTTCGAGCACTCTTTTGCGAACCTGAGCTAGACATACCTCGTGGGGCACCTTTAAACAGAACACGATCACTCTCGTTATTTCGCACGGCTGGATCGTCAGGAGATCGCTAGAAGATCGCTAGGATCGCTACGAGATCGCTAGGATCGTCTCTAGAACGTAGGAGGGCGGGTTTATATTTTTCTTTTTTTTTCTTTTACATTTGTTGGATTATTCGTTGGAGTTTCAATCTGTCTGGGATTCCTTTCGACACGATCTCAGCTCGTTACTGGTCGCTGTCGAGTTTCTTTTTTTTTTTTTTTGCTCAACGAGCAATCGCACCGACCGCCGATAAATCCGTTTTCGCGAGTTGCAAGCGAATTTCAATCGAATCGTAACTGGACCATCGATAGCGAAAGCTGCTCCACAGATCTTTTGCTTTACATTGCAAAAGCGATGTATCGAGGTATTTGCAGTGCAACGACGTCACTCGAAAGTAAACGGTAAAAGGCGAAGAATATTCCTCGCGCGTGTCTGAGATTCTTTCTGTCTCATGTTATTTGAAACTTGTGTTGTGTGTTATTTCCTACCATAAATTGAGAATTTCTTTCTAAAAAGAAAAACAACGTCTATCTCGTAACTGGTCATCATTCGAACATGCCATTCGTAAGAATAAATTCGTAAATTCGTCAAACATGGGATAGCAGCAGCTTTGGATTATGGAAAATACGAGAAATTTCAGTGGAAAATCCTGTACCATTTGAGGCGTACGTGAAACTTCGATGCAGGTGGAAAGCGTTACCATATTTTTCCGATTATCTGGATAAAGTTAAAACCGGACGAGGATCGGTGGCAGAATATTAACGTTGATGGGGAAACTGGCGTTCTAACCATTGGCTGTTGTAGTCGTGTTACGACAGGCACGAAATTCAGTTTGAAAATCGTAGCACGAAACGATGAAGTTGCAGCTGGATTTTTGTTCATACAACATTTTACACGACTTTGTACAAGTAGCTTTTATTGGCAAATAATCACCAAGAAGCGATTTTCCCCGCTTTTATTCTAGCGATCGACCGTCAATTTTAAACCTGAATATATCCATTTTGGCAAATTTAAACACTTTACAAATTCTATCGTGCGTCGATAACGCTATAACTAAATATAGTATCGTTAAAGTTTGTTGTTACGTAGTTAGCAACTAAGTGATTGCGGATTTTGTCAACGCCACCTAATGACAAAATCCGCAACCACTTAGTTGCCAACCCAATATAACATTAATCAACGATAGTTAGATAATCGACTATAAAAAAAATTCTTCATTTCTCGTAGAAATTCCACGCTTGCCGCTGCATTTGTCCATTTGTAGGACTGCTATGATCTTTTATTGTAAAATACATTACATACATCGTTATGTATTTTCTCGTTATTGGGTTGGCAATTAAGTGACTGCGGATTCTGTCAATGCCATCTAATGACAAAATCCACAACCACTTAGTTGCCAACCCAATATATTCTTTTTCTGTCCTTTTTCACTGCTTTTGTATAAACTTCACACTTTTGCCATCGGTGGTTCTAGCGTTAAAATTCTTGCAAGCAACGCTTGTGCAATGTAAAACAAAGGATCCATCCGGAAACTTTCGCGCGTCACCGTGCCAAAGTTGAGATTTTCGCGTAATTTGCGTCCTTCGGAAATATTCTAAATTTCGATACAGCGTCGGTCGTTCGATTTCGAAGTTAATTTTAAAGTTTTAGGATATTTCGTTGGCGACGGTCGCAACTTGCCTGAAAGCTTCGATCTCAATGGCCGATATATCAGATCGCGAAAGTAGCGTACAAAACTCGGAGAATCAGAAAAAAGTAACAAATGGAAAATAAAGGAAAATAGAGGAATTAGAAGAGTCGTGACTGAGAATGTCGTCAATCGTGAATGAAACGTCAGGCTGGTGCATATGAAATATCGTTTCCGTGAAATTCCAATTTCACGGGCTCCTGCTACTGCTTCCAGCTTCTTATCCTGTTATTATCGTAACGTACGTTTATCGAGCGTCGATACAGCTATACGTAAATGCAATATTACGATTCCTATGAATAATTTTACACAATGAAAATTTTAACGTTAATCTTACCAGGTCCGGTGAAACGATCGATTTCAAAATTTTATTTCGTTTAATTTCGTCGTTATTTTTCTTGTTTCTCTAACTTTATGTAAATCCCCGTATTATCCGATTAATCGATCTCCCGATTTTTGTTGATACAGGAATTTGCATAAAGTGAAATGGACGAACTAACAATTCGAAGAAAAATATAACGACGAACGTAGAATTTTAAATAAAATATTGAAATCGGTCATTTGACCGAGTCTGGTGAGCTTAGTGTTACAGATTAACAACGTGGTAAAGTTGAAAGTCGCAACGAGCAATTTATTAATAATTGCCAATTTATTGTAGCGATACTATTGGTTCGAATATCATCGCGCAAGAGAACTCTGGACGATGTCCAAAAATCTTGGAACGAATCTCATACCATTTCGAAACGAGAGATTCGTGAAAGAATATAGCGTTCGAAGAATTTTTAAATTCTACGAGTTCTTTACGTAATCCTTGGGAATAGCAAACTCGAGAACATCCTGCAAATTATTTCGATCAGATACGTACACATGTCCGTACAAGCTCTGTTACTCTTAAGCTACCGTACTGTGTATCTTATTACGCCAATCTAATTTTCCTCTGCCTGTCTATATTTCCTCTTGCCTTTTCCCACGTACATTCCATTTCCACCCCGTCACAAATGAGAGAAAAGAAACGTTGCACGTGACATTTAACGTAGAAATTTGATACGGAAGTATTAAATACAATAATCAGTAGAGAAACTTGATACGAGTGTGTTGAATATCGTTATAGGCAGATAAATATTAATACAGACGTACGTCGATAATACGAGGGTCGTCCAGAAAGTAACAGGCGTTTACGTATAGAAGCCATACGAAGCGACGCGATGTGCTTGCAGAAGGTCAGCCAGCTTCGTTCGTACGTTGGCATAAATTATAAATTACGAATTACAAATTTCGTTTCGTAGGAGGCAGCCCCGCTCTTTGTGCGTTTTTTCTTAGAAGCAGACAAAAAAAAATTTTATCTTTCGCTTGGGTATGGTAAGAATAAAGAAGCAGTAAGTTTCGAGTAATGAGACACGATTCGAAAAAGGCTCGATATGGCACACTCGCTCAAATTTACCCAAACTCACTCAATTTTCTTCAAACATGCTCAAACCCAGCCGAATTTATCCAGATTTGCTCAAACTCGCTCAAATTTACGCAAGTTTACTCAAACTTGCTCAAACTCGCTCAAACTTACTCGATTTTTGTTCAAACTCGCTCAAATTCAGACGAATTTATTCAGATTTGCTCAAATTTACGCAATTTTATTCGAGTCCACTCGATTTTGTTCAAATTACCTCAAATTTACGCGAATTTATTCAGATTTGCTCAACCAGCTCTAATTTACACAAATTTACTCAAAGACGTTAATTTGATGGATTTGCTGAAATTACCCGAGAGTGGAGCAGCCTCCTCATCGCGGCAGGCTCTTCGATCGTTGAAGTTCCATTTAGTTTAAGACGGTGATAAGAACTGAAAGTTTGAGCGACGACGAGGTGCCGTTTGTCGCACTTTTACGCTCGTTGAACGCTGGAAACGTTCGTCCACAAAAGGAATTTACGGTCGAATCGCATCACTTCACGGTAATAAGATTATACTGACTGAGAAACCAGATACTCGATCGTAAACGTTTTGATCGCTCGTCTTCCATTACGGCGGATCTGAAGAAACGTGTCTGCGATTCCGTTACGAGCGACCGACGCGTCGTTCCAAATTGTCATTTCTTTCTTTGTAAGATCGAGAAAGGTCTTGAATGGATAACACCTCGCAGGAAACGACGATTCAAAGGACCCCCGGTGGAACGACGGTTATGCGAACACGCGGCGGAGCAATACGTCGAAGACAAGCGGGGAACCCCTGCTACGTTACGATAAACGTTGAGACAGGAATGCCGGTTATATCGAAAGATACCCAGGTACTCAAATAACATCGAATAAATCGAATAAAATGGAAACAAATCTTGGTTCTTCGCACGTTCTTCGAACAGTTGACCGGAACTTACTTTCTGGATACGCCTCGTATTTAATAAATTAAGTATTTAAGTATCCAAATATGAGATTAACACCGACGATTAGCGTAGTTAATAAACGTTAGCTAATAATTAGTGAGATAAAAGAAAGATCGAAGAAAGAAAGGAATTCGTTAGAGAAGACGACGGTTTCATACGCACCAACCTAACGAAAATAGAAAAAGAAATGACTATTCAGAAATGAACAGTAGAATGGTCAATGAAGACAAAAGGGAGAGTTTCTCTCTTTCTCTCTCTCTCTCTCTTTCGATTTCTGATATACTCGTGTTGTAGTAGTAACATATAAGTACTCGTACTGATACACGAGGCGAGTCTGCGTGAACCAGGCGACAGTGACGACAACCAACAACACGTGAAAACACACGGGAAACTCTCGAAGCCGACAGTCCACGATTATACAGATGAATGCAGACAGAGTTCGGTATTCGGTGGTCGACCAGCGTCGAGCATGCACAATGATACGTCGTTTTCGTGCCTCGAGGCGTTCTGTCAGAATCATTTCGCTGGCAATCGACGACTTCCGACCGTCTATAGGCCCCAAAGGCGTTCCGCCTCAAATCGCCTCCACGTTCTTCGTAGCGCACGTACCAATACCGTCACCTACTGTTATTACACTCTTCGTATACTCGGTTTTCTAAATAAATATAGTTATAGTTAGTTGGTAGGTACGTATAGTTGTCTGTCAAGCATAGCGCGATAGTAGAAAGTTCCGTAAAAATATTCGAAAAATCTTACGAGGGACGCTAATTGGTTTTTATCTTCCTTGAGCTTAATTTTGTATTACAATTGTAGCAAATTGGCAGTCGATCTTTTTGGCAGTTTTTTACTTTGAAACGTTTCAAGAAAAAAAGGAATCTTCTTATATCTTCCGCTTTATACTCGTATCTTCTTATATATCGTAAGAAGATACAATTGGAAAAGTTGCAAGAGAAATTCGATCGAAACGAACGAATCTGCTCATTTTGGAGGTTAGAAGATTCGTAAGAACATCTTCGTCGAAACGAGTCTCTCCTTGACCAGTTAACTGTATTCGACGAATATACTCGTCGCGAAGAAACGGCAATATTTTCTGTTATCGAGAGCTCTGTCGGTAACAAGTAACAAGTTTACTACAGCTTAATCCTGTATTAGAACAACCACACATACTCTATGTTTGACGAGTATACTCGTCATCGCTTGTTTCTTGTCGCACATTTTAGCTACGCGCTTCTCAAAAAGATCGCAACGACTAACTGGTTGGCAATTTGGAAATTTCTAGTAAAAAATTCCATTAAAGAGAGATTGGTTAGCAATTGAAGAAAATACGACTGTTTCCTCTTCCTGTTATCGAGAGCTCTGTCGGTAACAAAATTCAAAAATAAAACAGTCATTTTACTACAGCTTAATCCTGTATTAGCACAGCCACACATACTCTGTGATTGACGAGTATACTCGTCGCGAAGAAACGGCAATATTTTCTGTTATCGAGAGCTCTGTCGGTAACAAGTAACAAGTTTACTACAGCTTAATCCTGTATTAGAACAACCACACATACTCTATGTTTGACGAGTATACTCGTCATCGCTTGTTTCTTGTCGCACATTTTAGCTACGCGCTTCTCAAAAAGATCGCAACGACTAACTGGTTGGCAATTTGGAAATTTCTAGTAAAAAATTCCATTAAAGAGAGATTGGTTAGCAATTGAAGAAAATACGACTGTTTCCTCTTTTTTTATTAATCTTACGAACGAACAATTTTCAACGATCTTAACCGACCAGGATCTTTAATCTGTCCGAAACGTGGATTTGATTTTCGTTTGCCTTTAAAATGGAAGTCGTCGATTCCAGCGACGAAAGAAGCCACGAACACCACACTTAAGCTTCTCCCATGCGAAGTAAATATCGTAGGGGTACTTACTGTTCTTCTTGTACAGCAGGATCTCGAATTGATCGTGAATCTGGCCCTCGAGGCATTCCTCGATCCTGGCGATCGTATCTTTGTCCGTCAACTCCCCGTACATGAATCCGCAGCGGCAGGACTTTTGCATAACCTGACGGCAGATTAATCCATTTACATCGCTATCTGACCTATTCGTCGTTGAAGACGATCAAAGTTTTAGCGTATACCAGTTTTCATGGTTGGATGTTGGAATTTGGCCAAAATAAAGAAAGGACGAATGTATAAAAATTGGCAAAAATGTCCGAGTACGAGGTGGCAAAAAATCGGGAGTCAAAATTGGCAAAAAGTTTAAATGAGAAATTGAGATAAATTTGAGGCGAGGAATTCGCGACAACTTCACGCTAGAGATTGACGAAAGTTGCGAAGTGAAAATTCGTTGCGAAAATGGCGAATTAGAAATTGGTGAAAATTCGCGAGTCAGAAATCACGAGATTCTGCGAGTGATAATTATCAAAAACTTTTTTTATCAAGAACAATTATCAATAAAAACTGAGTGAAAATAATTGCGAAAATGACGAATTAGAAATTGAAAATTCGCGAGTCAGAAATCACGAGATTCTGCGAGTGATAATTATCAAGAACATTGGCATGGAAATTGGCAAAAGTTGGCGAAAGTTTCACATTGAAGATTAGCACGCGTTTTAAGCAAACAATTGGCGAAAATGTTGAATTAGAGATTAGTAAACGTTTGGAAGTAAGAATTCACCAGATATTTCAAACTACAAATTCCCCCGCTACTCTAACTCGAAATATCTTATTGTCTCTTTCTGTTTAAAAAAAGTTACCGCGAATACGAAGAAATTTATTAGAAAACTTTGAACTTTCAACGTCTCGGATTGCATTATATTCACTCGCTCGAGATATAAGCGAACAATGTATCGTATTTTTATTTAAAAATATTCCAACGAAAAGCGAACGAAACTGAGATAAACATTTTTATTAAAAAACATTATGTTTATTAAGAAAAAAGGTGTCTAAAAGATCAGAGAGAAACTTTATACGCAACCACTTGATATCCCAACGTCTGACCTTACATCTACCAATTCTCCTACCATCGAATCATCATACATAGCATCGTCATATATAGCATTTTCTACCATATTTCGACCGAGAAAACCGAAAAAAAAGCAAAAGAAATTCAATTTCGTCTCTGAATTACGCTACAACCATCGCATCTTTCCAAGAATGAATGCCATAAACATTTCACGCGTATAATGGAAATCGTACGGTGGCTAAACTCTAAATTCGATTCATTGTGCTTCGGGACGTTTCTAGCTACGATAAATCCAACGTAACCTGGTGAATTTAATTCACGAGAGCGAACTAAGGAGGAGAATTGGTAATTAAGCGAAATGAGGGAATCGTCGTGAGATTAGGTACACGGTGAATGTTTTTTCGCGACGTGTGTTATCGGGAAATTAGATGGAAACCGGTCCAGGCCAGGTGCGACGAACTACAATCGCGTTAAACCGGTTACGTCCGCGCTAAACGGCCAGGATAATCCGATTATCGGGCGTGATTTTCGCGAATGAAATTAGTTTAAAAGTTGAGCTAGCGCAGCGCTTCCTGAAGCTGTGAATCGCTCGTACGGCATCAGAATTAACAGAGTTAAGCTGCGTTTGCATTGGTCCTGTAGCTGGATCGAGCGACTACGTTCCAGTTGTCCGACTAGAAACTGTTCCGTGTCTACGTTATCGCAGTGTTCGTCGGACACACGTGAAATTTCGTAGACTTTAAGCGACTAATCGCGGGAGTTAACTTTAAAAATCCCCCTTACAGGATTGGAATCGAGCAACGACGAGTATATACGTCGAGCCCTGGGCGAACATTCCTAAGTCCTATTATAAATTTCACGAGAAAAGTAGAGCTAGACGAGGCAAGACTACAGTTTTATTCGATGAAAAAATTAACAATTCGTTGGAGAGAAAGGTGTTGTTATTAAAAACTTAGAAATTGCCGAGAAATAATAAAGTAAAGTGCAGAAAACAATTCGGGAAATCGCCCAATGCGTTGGGGAAGACAATCGACTGAATTTATAAAAGGCAGTACATTATACGGAGTATAATCGATATACCAAAGAAAATAATCAAATAATCAAACTTTTTTTGTGTAAAATACATCATAGTTTTACTGGAAGAACAAAGAAAACTAAATATAATTTATATTACCTTTTACTAAAATTTTGACCTTTTATAGTAAATGCTAATTTTCTATTATACACGACGAGTATACACGCCAGCCGAAGCAAAGTTTTCCATTGACGTATATATACGTCGAAGCGAAGTTTTACATTGACGTATATATACGTCGAAGCGAAGTTTTGCACTGACGTATATATACGTCGAAGCGAAGTTTTGCACTGACGTATATATACGTCGAAGCAAAATTTTGCATTGACGTATATATACGTCGAAGCAAAGTTAGCTGGTTAATGGCATTGGATAAAACGTACTATTCTTTAGCCAGCATTGGACGTCGAGCTACACGATTCCAGTGACACTGTTCTCGACGGTGCAGGTAAAAATTGAATTGGAAAGAGGATCTTCCATCCAGTCGTTGCACTGGATTGCTTACTGGAATGACACATTCAGCCAGCACTGGATATCGAGTCTACACGATTCCAGCAACGCTGGAACGTTACTCGAATGTAGATTGAAAAGAGAACTTTCGATTCAGTCGTTGGTCTGAATCGCTCACTGCAACGAAAACACCGATCGCATTATACCAGTTACGAACCAATGCTGGATTGGACCACTGGACTGGACTGGAACGCCACTGGACCAATGCAAACTCAGCTTCATGGGGCGGTGAAAATTTGTTACAACATATAAATGTTATACCATATAAACTGATATCAACGTGCACCACAAACATTATGTATCTTGTTCTATTCTCCGTTGAAGAGGAGAAGTGTATCGACAAGCGTATTTGTTGCACTTTATATTTTCCTTAGAACTTTCCAACCAAGCATTTACGCACTGCTGTGCGAAATTCTACTCGTATTTTCACCCGTACGATACACCGGCTAAGTTTGTATACTAAATTGCGAGCCACCCAGTATATTAAGATTTTACCAAACGACACTCCAAACAAACGTTCTGAAACGTATCTTCTCGTATTTCCTCTTGTCATTACGTTCGTATTCTCAATGAGAATTGATCGCAAAATTCTATCAAATAAAATAAAATAAAAGAAAAATCACGTTTGTATTATAATTATAAAAATATAATTGCCAATATTTTAATATAAAAATATCACTAAAAAAAAAAAAATAAAAAAATATCCCGAACAATTATTTCTCCGTGAAAAGTCGATTATCGTAGGTTTGGTCGATGGAACAAGTTTGAAGAAGAGTGGAGGGGGTAAATTGAAAAGGTAAGTCCGGTCGCGAAACGTTCGCCGTGGGACGAAAGAGGCTTAAGAAAAGCGGAGAACAGGCTATTTACCTCGGCACGATTATAGCCAGAGATTTTGCAAAAGCTTTCGTTGCAATAGACAATAGGGAAGTCGACGATCTGAGCGTTCGCCAGGAGAAAACTGCTGTCAGCTGTGAACAGAAAAAAGAACACACGGAAAGATTAGCTCGTGTTTTTCCCATTCTTTCGTACAATTAAAATTGGAAGAAGAATTTGATTAAAAAATTATATTCGAGAAGAGGAGTTATTTAAAAAAGAAAAATCGTTCTGAGTTCTAATCAAAATTTCTAAATGGAATTCAACATAAATCGAGCGAATAATCTTTAATTAAATTCTTCTTCCTTTATTTATTTCCTTGTCAGTATAAATGCCTGACTTTTCCATAAAACGAATTACAATCGGATCCATGTTTCTTCCATCGATATTTTGTTTTTTATTCGTATAACGTTAACGAAAAACCGAAAATTCACGACGTTTCTTCTATGTTTCATTCTAATATTAGGTTAGCAACTAAGTGATTGCGGATTTTGTCATTAGGTGGTGTTGACAAAATCCGTATTCACTTAGTTGCCAACCTAATAGTATTCTCAAACAAATTCACTTAGACTAATTTCAGATAATTTTCGAATACGATGTAAAAGATATTACAGAAAGAAATATGAAAGTACTAATAAATACTAATTCTATTAAATCGCTATTGAACGAAGTTTAATATACCTGCACCTCGTTAATCGGTGTATATCATAACCTACAATAACTAGGATGGCGTGTCGATACTTTTTACAGGCACAGTAGAAAAAGAAAAATGGTAGAAAACAAGTTACTTTATCGAGTCTGTAACCTGCTGGTCATAAATATTGCAACGTCTACTCATTACGTTTATTGTTTACGCTTGAGCCTCTAACTTTGTTACATTATTTAGTACTTAAAAATAAGACGAGTAGAAAATAAGAACAATGGGAAACGTTCGATCCGTGTCAAGTATCGGCAACTCTCGTGTCTTTGTTCGTATATTTATGAGTAGCAGTGTATTTTTGAAAGAAAAGAAAGAAGAAAGAAAAGAGTATCGTCAGATAATATTTCCAACATTAAAAATGTATCCAAAGTTTCAACAAGACACGTTTTCTCTTCTGTATATTGAAACTGATCCCACTGATTTACTCCTCCCAAAACTTTAATACACGTGTGCTCTAAAAATATTTAAAAACAAAACCTTGCACGTAGCCGCCGTAGGGAGATTTCCACCGACGATATCAAATTTTTTTTATTATTTAATTTGTACTTTACAATTTGTCCAGCTGGACGTTCGGTAAATTTTTCTAGCTTTATTGCTATTTAACATGTGGATGGCTACCCCCAGCATGGTACCATTTTCGAGTTTGTCTATTTTATGTCTTTAGCGAGGTCAGTGGGGTGTTTTCTTTTTAGTCCTCTTTCTATGAGAGTGATATGAAATTAAATTCATTTTTTCTCTCTTGTTTTTACTTTCTTATTTACTTAGATATTAAAATAACACCGTGATATCCTAATCCGTATTTATTTAGCCGGTGACGTTTTTGGCACGTAATAAAGCTGGAATAATAATAACGACGACGATTTTCCGCATAGCCGGCGTGCATTTTCCGTGGAAATTCCAACCTCTTCATCCAACCCGCTCGGTCAGGTTTCCTCATCCACTTATTCGCTGGCGGCGCACGTACCGCATTAACGAGCTTTATACCTTTATTCGAGCCGCGTCTACCGAAGAAAAATCGTGGAAATCGTCATTCACGCGTCCCCTCGCTCCTTGATCCAATTCCCGCTTCGAGTTCATTTGAAATTCCTTTGATATCGCGAGTCTGCGACTACGTTAACTCGCCAGAGTAGTCGGACGCTCCTAAAACCTTTTTACACGGACAGTTACTGAAGTTTGCATACAGACGCTTATCGAATTTTTCGTGTCTCACTTACTTTTCATAGTTACACCGAGAAAGGCGTACCTCGTCGATTTCAACCAACTCGAAGAAAACAACTTGCCAAGCGAACAATGTTCCGTGCTATTTTTTCCTCTACAAGTAACCGCAATTAGAGGTTAGTTTCCCAGATGCTCGCAAGAATCTTCGATACGATTCGTGTTACGATTATATTTTCACGTATACGCTTCATTTTCGTGCAGGCGGCTGCCTTTTCATACAGAATTCCATTAAATTTCAAGTCATCGACGAAGGAGATAATTTTGACTTCCTCATAATTAATTGAGATAATTCATTTCAACTCACCGATGAGAGATCATTGGAGGCGATATCTTTCCTTTTTTATTTAATTCGTAGAGCTGGACATTCGGTAAATTGTCTTTGATATCTCGTAGAAAACAAGGAGAAGAATATGGGTTAGGTTGGATCAGTGTCCGACCTGTTGAGGTTCTCTCGGAATAGAATGAGGAATGCGCGGATGAATGTATAATAGAAATATATCCAAGTAAATGTAAGTATAAGCTGCACCATTCGTGCAACGCATGTTCCTAGAAAAAGGCTGTAAAGTTGAGAGGCTCTTTAAATTGATTTAGAACTAAAAAATACTCAATGGCTTCGACGACTAAGAAAACTAAACACTAGAGAAGATGCAGAGTTTTGCTAGAAGTGAGAATCGCTCCAACACGATCGACATTGTTGTTTCTATCTAGTGTTTTTATCTAGAGAAAGACACTTGCATGAAATTACAGCTCCCTCGAAGCCATCTAACTTTTGTTTGAAACATTTCACGGTATCAATTACAATTATTTTTATAGATATGTTCATAGACGTCATAGATTTAAATTGGACAGCCTGTATATTGTGAATATTTCAAGATTCTCAATTAAAAGGATCGGAACGTATCGTCGATACCGTGTTTTCGTTGAGAACCTTGAAATATCGACAGTATCGTCGATAAAACAGTAAGCGACGACGATTATACTCGTGGAACATGGGTTACGCGTGGCTGTTATGACGTAGAAGTTGTAACGAGAAGACTGTTCTATTTCTTAATTTTATTACTGCGAGTCACTGCGATTGCTAAATTGTAATTTAAACGGCAAACTATGACTACGTTTTACGCATGACGAGTATACTCGTCGTAACACAAAATATCGTTTGCGAGCGTTTTATGGGAAAATTACGCAAGAAACATGAAAAGTCAAATGAATCAGACTTTTGTGTTGCTATTTTAAAAGTATTATTTCGTTTCGAGTACACAGTATCTTTCGAAGATTAAGTTTCTCACTCTTCGAATTTGACGCTTATTTTGCTTCGGCTCACTGAATGCGTCACGTGAATCCTTTGTATCGGTTCGTATCTCGAATCAATTCTTGCGCGACACATTATCACTTTTATCATTTGCCTGTAGATAAAAGTCCAACAGCGTAAGAGCTGGCGAGCTCGTCAACCGAACAATGCGTCCTCCCTGACCGATTCATCTCTCACGATAATATTAGTCTACTACCTTTAGGTTCTGTCTTTTTGTCACAATTTTCTCATAAAGCGTTCGCAGAACTATGTTTATATAACGTTCCCTCCTTGTTCCCATTCGTAGAACAAACTGGTAAAGTTTGGTCGTTTAACACCAAGACACCCTGTACATATTTTGATAACACCTATCCACTATATTTATACTTGTCTTGTGGTTAATTTTCTTCGCGTTTCGTTACTCCTTGCTATTTTCCTGACTTTCTTTCCTCATAGTGTCTCTCTTTCTTTTTACACTTAAACTACATTGTTCAAGTTTACGAAGATCCGTTGATACCGAGACACCCTGTATAATAGAAAGGAAAGCACGTAAAACGTGTGTAAAACACGGGTTCCATTCAAATTACTTGCGCAAGCTTCACCGACAACAGCTTTGACCAACAATAACGTCAACTGGCTGCTGGTATTAGCGCAGCGAAATGCTAGGGGATTTTTCTTCCTGTAGATTTATTGCTGCGGATAGTTGATGGTCGGCCTGATCGGGAAAGCCAACCCAAAGCCAATACAAAGCACAAGCTGTCTAGCGATGAAATAAGTTTCCCTTCGATGTCAATTAATCAACATTAAGTTTCCGTGTAATTTCAACGATCGAAACAATACCAAATCTGTGACAGGCCACAGTGGTGGTCAGTGTGTCCGGTTTGAGCTAGTAATTTTCATTCCTCATTAATTACAGTAATAAATCTACGCAAATAAAAATCCTTTCTCACGTCCCTCTGCTAATACTGTCAGTCGGTAAAAGCTGTCGTCGGTGAAGTGTGGCGTGTGGAGCAAATTTCGTGTCGGTGAAAACACAAACAGTAAAACACATCGTTCCTGTCACGATGCTGGGGAACAAGCAATAAATAAAGCCGTTGCTGCTGATGATATTAATTAAGGGGAAAATTCGATCCAAGGAAAACCGTGTAACGGAAAGATAGAGATATTTCATAGGTGGAAAGTCGCTGACACTGAAATACGTTTGAAAGGAATAAAAGTGCGGTCGAAGAATGTACAACGGAAGGCAAACTGAGAGAAGATTCATTCGCGTATGGTTTGCAGGCTGAGCGAGGCCGAAGAAAAGGTCCTTGAACGTGAGCAGACAAAAGAGCGAGAAACCGAAAGTGTCTAAAGGAATCTGGAAAGCGAAAGTTTGGCAGAAGACGCGAAGCAGACAGACTTTTTCTTTGCGAAGCGTTGATTGGTCGGAATGTTGCATCTGTGCTGCAACTGCCACATCCACTTTAACCAGTTAGCTGTCGCGACCTCTTTGAAAAACCTGAACTGTGTGGCAAAAAGTAAGCGACGACGAGTATACTCGTCAAGTTTTATCTTTTTTTTTTAACATGACGAATGTATTCGTCGTGACACAAGGTATTGCTATTTCTTTGTAACGAGTATACTCGTCAGAAATACCTAATTGGTTAACCCGTTCGGTTCTAATTTCAGATGAATTTTACATATATGTATATATATTTATGATTTAACATTTACACACAATTAAAATTAAAATTTACTTAAAAAATAGAATTGCTTATAGTTTGAACGAAATAATTCTAGAACAATAGTGAGACGATAGAGCGAGAATAAAACGTAAGCGTTCTTATCAAGCGAGAAATATTATTTATCGGTGATAAATAATCGCGATAGAAAACGAAGGTAAGGAAAATCTCTCGACTACCTGATAATTTCATCCTCGTTTCGCGGAAACGGCTAATTCCATCAACGAGCTGTGAATGGGCAAGAAATTATGAAATTCTCGAGTTCGCTCTCGTGTACTATAGAGGCGCGCTGGTCAACGTAGTTCTACCGGAGATTCGCCCGTGCTGAATTCCCATTTAAGCGGGTCGCTCCTTTCACCGACTCTGCCTTAATTAAAGTCTTTTTTGGTTTTTTCGCCATTTCTCCACCGGCCGCCATTACGAATCGCCAGGGAATTCTCGACTCCGCACATCCTTCGATTGCAAACTCCTCCACTGTTTTTACCAACTTTTAGATCATTGTATTAACTGATCAGCAAAATTACTAACCAATTAGCTGTTTCTGACGAGTACACTCGTCACGAAAAAATGGTAATATTTTCAATTATCGCGAGCTCTGTCGGTAATAAAATTCAAAAATAAAATAATCGTTTCATTGCAACTTAATTCTGTTACAACAGCCAAATGTACTCCATGCTTGACGACTATACTCGTCATCGTTTATTTTTTGCCACACATTTTAGGTGCGCAATTTTCAAAGTTTTCAAAGAGGCCGCAACAGCTAACTGGTTAAACCGATGACGTTTATCATGTAATTTGCTCTTAAACGTTATACGATATCATTAAATTGATGATGTTTACGATGCGGATAATTCATGATTGCATATTAATAGTGAACCGTTCACAATTGGTTCGTCCCACTTTCGTGAAATTCTTCAAAATTGACTGCCAAAGCGCTTGATCGATGCTCATCCTATACAGGGTGTCCCATTCTAATCCAGCCACGTAAATATCTCCTAAATTATACATTTTTTTTTTTACTGACATTTTTTTTTATCTGCATATGGTATAGTATCTGCATGGGTTGAATAAAATCAGGGGACACTCTGTATACAGGGTGGTTGGTAACTGGTGGTACAAGCGGAAAGGGGGTGATTCTACGCGAAAAAAGAAGTCGAAAATATAGAATAAAAATCTTTTTTTAATTTTTTTTTTTTAAAATTTTTCCATCGAGACAACGATTTTCCATCGAGACAACGATCTACAGTGAGATCCGTTATAACGTACCGCACGCGTACCGAGCGAAAATTCAAAGTCGATTTTCTCGAAAACAAAGCCTCGAACGAAAAATTTTTATTCTATATTTCCGACTTCTTTTTTCGCCTAGAATCACCCCCTTTCCGCTTGTACCACCAATTACCAACCACCCTGTATAATTCGGCCAATTTCCCCTACATTCTGCTTTGTGCATCTAGCGACAGATTTGGTGAATGAACAGGTTATACGATCTTATTAAATGGACAATGTTCGATGACGTAATTTATTATTAAACGTTCTATGATGTTATTAAATGCGACGATGTTTATGACGTAATTTATTATTAAACGTTATACGATGTTATTAAATTGATGCTGGGTCACGATGCAATTTATTATAAAAGCTTATACGATTCTATTAAACCGATCGTATAAATTCGATATTTTAACGAACACGAAGCAGCGAAGGGAAAAGAAAAATTTTTCTCTTCAAAAACACCTATTCGCAAGAAGCGTTTCCTACGTTTTTGCGTGTACAAATTCGCACGCGTTACGCATAGTTTCACGCGGCCGTTGAACAAAACACGAAACGAGTCTTGCAATTTTCCTTCATTTTCCTCGACATTTGCCATTTTCTCGCGCATTTACAGGCGAAAAGACGATAACGATAATCGTAGGCGTGCACGGGTACCCGTGCACCAGTACTGCACGCAACGCGAGCAAAAGCTCGATTCTATAACGTTGGTACCGACGCACTCTCCTGACCTGGCTCGTTCGATGAAAACGGGTCAAGGCTACGTGCACCGACCCTATGCAACTTTCTACGCGGCTAACCCACCCACCTATTATCCTCTCGACCATCTGGTTGGAAGTACTCATTCATGCACCTGATGGGAGAATTTCTATCCTCCTTAAGACGCAAAATAATGCCACAGATTCGAAGTAACAGTTATGTCAAACATCGCTTCGCGGAAAGTCATGCTGAGAAAGTTCATTCTTATTCGAACGGAGGCCATCTATCGAGAAATCTGAAGAACATTTCTCATAAAATCAAACGATCAAGAGATTTTAATTGCTACGATTACGAGTAACCATCGTCGTCGATAGAAGTTTAATTTCGCTCGTCACTAACCAATATAAATGATTGGAATTTTTCTTTTCTTTTATTTGTTTTTTTTTTTTGGTTACCAATAAACATTATCGACGATGAGAATTTTGTTTTGCTTAGCGGTAATCTTTATCGACGGCGAAAAAATTGTTTTGGTCAACGATAAGCATTACTAATGATGGGAATTCCATTCTAGCTACCGATAACCGATACAAATGAGCGGAATTTTTTCCGGTTACCAATGATCGTTATCGATCAGCAGAATTTTGTTTTGGTTACCGATAACCATTATGGGAGACGAAAAGAATGTTTTCTTTACCAATAACCATTACAAAATTGTATCAAAATTTTTTAGCTTACCAATAACCATCGTCGATGATCGAAATTTTCTTTCCATTACCGATAATTATTATCAACAACGAAAAATGTTGTTCTGGTCACATTCAGCTATTGTCAATTGTCGTTAACATTACTGACGAGTCGTATTCATTAAGTAGCAGCTTCCTTTTTTGCATTTCAAACTTGAACGTTCGTTACCGTCAGAGCAAGAGAAAAAAGAAAAAAATTTTTTTATCTCTCATAAAAGAATCAGCGAGAGAAATGGGAGTGGGAGTGAGAGAGAAACCAAGTGGACTCTCCTTCCGACGATAAATTGCATGATAATTCAGAAGCACTTCAATCAGTATAGGAAATCGAGAATTATAAGGAAGAGAGATGTCGACATCGACACCGAATTTAATGATCTATTGGAAAGAGAAGAAGTATGCGGCGATATCACGTGTAGCAAAATTGGCTACAATTTTCACGCGGTACCTGCCACGCAATCCAGCGTGGAAAGAGCATTTTCAGCTTTTAAATTGTTCACAGAACAAAGAGCAGGGATGCAACAAGAGGCGACGCTCCTCACAAAGAAACCACTTCTAAATAGAGACGAAACGATGCGACCAATTTAAATGTGCATTCGGCAAACTTCGGCTATGATCGGTGACTTGCGGTAAAATCGCAGACTCTTGTACTACAGCGAAACTGTGATCTTCGCCATTTTTAATTCGTTTTGTAACTCGTAGTAACGTTCATCGATTTCGGTGAAATTGTCAGCGTGCGTATAACTGCCACAAATCTTCAAAATATGTCGTTTAAATTTTTGTTAAAAGAACCAGATAAAAAAGATCGAAAAGAATGATATTCTCTTGTTTTCTTCGCCATTCCGACCAATTGAAATTTTTTCAAAATTTTGTTTACTCTATTCGTTTCTGTACCATCTATATTGTTTTATACTATTCTTCTTCACGCTACTATTTTGTACATTATACATTATACAGGGACAAAAGAAAAAGAAGAAGGAGAAACGTAAGAAAAAAAGGAGAGAGGGCAAAGAAGAGAAAGGGGAAGGAAAAAGATAAGAAAAAAGGAGAAGAAGAAGATAAAAAAGAAAAAGAAGAAGAGGAGAATAAAAAACGCAGAAGAGAATGAAGAAGAAGAAAAATATTAAAACACAAAAAATCAACCGCGCCACAGACAAAACAAAGAAATTTCTAACAGAAGAAACGCATCGTCTAATCATTTCAAATGCAAATACATTTCTTTACCAAATGTCCAGCTGAACAAATCGTGAAGTACAAATTAAATAATAAAAAAAGAAGGAGACGCATCGAACGACACTCCTCACAGTTATGGTAACGTTTTAATCATCTCGTCTATCTTGCCGCGAGTCGATCACAAGACAACGAGAACAATGTCTCGCGTGTTGGAACGGTTGACGAGGAGGATGGGTGAAAGAAGACGGCGAAGATGTCGACGACGAGCAGCCACTTTCCATCGAGTGTCCTCTCGAATCGTAGCCCAGCGTCTTGAAAGCTTCTGAACGATGGATCCTCGACCAGCGTGTGCCTTCCCGTCCAGGCCTATGCAACAGGAACACCATGCAAGCAAACGATCCTCGAATGGCTTGGCAAACCATTGGCCCGACCACGAATCAAACGAATGAGACAGCGTTTCAGGAGTTTGCGTGATGAATAATACGCGTAACGCAAGAAGGAAACTGTTCCGCGAATTGAATCAGTTATGGCTTATATGCGCGCGTTGACAAGTGTAGCTTCAAAGATGAACAACGTTGGCAGAAACACGTTACTCGAAATGGAAATATTTCTCGCTCGGAACACTCGAAAATCTACGTGGAAGCGATATAGCGTTTGAGGAAACGCGCTAAGGAATTTCTTTGTCTCGTAAAAGATCACGAAGAATCATTTAAAAGTTAGCTATTTTTTAGGATTCTCCGGTTTGATTTTGTGCAAACTAGAATTTTGTGAAAATTATACGGCAGAATTTTATGCAAACTATACGCTGAGACTTCAAAGGCCATTGAACCAATCTGTAAGCGAGCAATTCTTTCGACATTTTCTATTTTGCTTTAGTGCAAACTATACGGTAGATCTGGCTAAGAATCGAAAGGTTAGTTGGCTAAAAGTATCGTAGGGAGCAAAGTAGTTATTAACTTATAAAATTAAAGATTTTATTTATTAACTACAATGTTTCTTTCCCTCTTGCGAATTAAAACTGATAGAATTCGACCAGCGAAAATGCAAAATAGCCAAAAATACGACGAAAATACCCTGGATAGATCAGTCGATCCACATACAACCAGGTGGTTCGTATACAGCGAAGTCTCGTTTATGCGAGTTCGACCTAAGTTCCGTGCAGTCCGAGACGCCTTAAACTTGAGCGTAACTTCGTCTTTCTGGACATTTTAACGCGAACAGTACGTAAGAGCGCTGGAATAGTCGGATACTGCGAAAGCAGTTGATCAAGTTACCGATAGATCAAACGATGAATCAAACTTAACACACGCACCATGTTACATTGTGAAAATAAAATTTCAAAATAAAATCATAAAATTCTGTATCTTTTTTTTACTTCCCCACGAGAATTCACGTTTCGCCCGCTTCTACGTGTTGCTCGACCGGAAGCTGTACACTCAAAATCTCTGTATTTTCTTGCATATTTCGATCGTTGGATCTTACGCGTTTTCTGTACTTCCGCGGCTCAAAATTTCGCAGAGTAAGCGGCGATTCGACGAAAACGAACGAGACAGCGTTTCGATAGCTTCGCTGATGAATTTGTTTGAAGAAATTGTTTCGCGAGTTGGATCGAGTCGAGCAGAGTAGCTTCGTCGTTTCTTCTTGCTGCTGCTGTTCGAGGATGGATGTTGATCGTTGCCAGCTGGATCGACAAGTAACGATATGGATAAGAACGACGAGAAGCGAACGTCGAGATGCGGTTGCTGTGCCAAATCGACACGACGACGAGGAATAATTGGGCAAAGTGAAACAGGGCGGAAATGAAGTGTTGCAAGAAAATTGTTGCGATTCTGTAATTTGACGATGGATCGACCGAGTGATTATTTACGAACGTTTCTTTGTTCCAGTTGAGATATCAGCGTTATAAATTGTTGTATATCGTGGAATAATAAAAATGAGGAAGAACGGAGCTGGATAAACGATAGAAGAATTTCTATTTATTTATCTGATCGATAACTTGATGATATACAGGGTGTCTTGTGTTAGTCGCGACTCACGCCAGTCATATCTCGTAAACGATAGGTTTTTCGAGAAAATGTTTCCAATAGAACTCGTTCCGTTTCAAGAGGAGCGTCCTACGGTGATCAACAGATTTATTTATGTGGAGATGCTTTCGAGATTTCAAGCTGAATTTGACTTATTTACACACAACTGTACGTTTCTCGATACGCCATTTCATGCAGTTTTTCATTGTGTACAAAAAATGCACGAGGTACTTTGGTCAAGATATTTTAACTGTACCGTTGCAAAATTTGTATTTCTTCGTTCAGGGCTGGGGCAAGGCAGGTTCTACCCGCGGTCTACGAAAATTATCTAGAATCATCGATAAGTTAAGAGAGATTTTCATCTCTGACTATTCTGTCAATAAAAAGTGAAGTAGCAAATTCAATCGATATCGATGATTTTATCAAAAATTTGGCGTCGAAAAAAGCGAGAAAAATTATTTAATATTATTATTGGATTGTATTATTATTTAATATTCTTCTTATAAAAGATATATAATATGTAACAGCATTTGTAAATAAATAATTATAAATAAATAATAATAGGATTTGAATGTGTATTCAGGCCCCGCAAAAAGTCCACTTATTTGTTTTTTTAGGTAATCATTGTTCCACTCAAGAACCTAGATGAGGAGAACGTAGCAACATGGCGCTGCGCTGCGTTTCCTCGTCCCTCGCGATCACTTTTCCGAGATTAAAGTTAAAATTATTGAGATATATATAATTTTGTGTGCTAAACTAGATTATCCGTGTAGTAGTGACATACGTATGCGAGTATGAGTGTATGGAAGTATGTGTGTGCACAGCATCTCGAACAACACACGAATGCAACTGTTCCGTTAGCAGTATGGCATAAAAGATGGCGATACAAAGAAAGTACTGAGACGCGTGCAAATGTATATCGACGAAGATCCTATAAATCATTTATTAAATAAATCTAAAACTATTTTAATATAAATTCTAAGTGTAATCTTAATATTCCTTTACTTTTATTTCGGCGATTAAGATTCACAATTCTCAACAAAAATATCTTTCACAAACCTATCATTTTTCAACCCAAATGCCCAAACACTTTTTTGCAGAGAACAAAAATATAAAGATCGCGTATAAAGAAACGCGTGGTTCCATTTAGAAAGACGATCACCTCGAAATGTCCAAGGCACGTCCACCTACGATAAGATTCGTAATCGTCACAAAATTACCAATAACAACGAGTTTTATAACCAGAAACAGACCAACTTTCATACGAAATGTTTTCTCCAATGACGTTTTTATCAGAGCTTGGAAGATATTTGTCCCGTTCGATCCAAACGAGACAATTTTGTGCATAGAAGATTATTTGTTCGTTAAATCGCTCGGATTTATTTCGTTAGAAACTGGACGAGAAAGATTGTCAGCTCGAAGGTATCGGTACGGTTGAAATTGGCAGGATCGATGGAGCGTATCTTGTCGACTCGAGTAAAAATGATCGACTGCAAGCAAAGTTTCTCAGCTGTTCGGCGTCTCGTGTTTCAGCGGGTGATCCGATTCGCGAGTTTTTAATGCGTTTACCGAGGCAAGCTATGGCAAATCCGATTCAGCAAAGCGAAGTGCCTCTTGAATATGGATGAGATTAACGGCCCGATGTAAGAGAACATTTGAAACCCTCCGCCTGCCCCCACTGCGATAAACAGCCCTCTTATACCATAAACTTTTCGATATAGTATACTTTCTAACGTTTATCCACTCTAGCGAGTCTTCCTCCTTCGTTCTGTTACTGGAAGCATATTAGAAAATTTCGATAAGCGAACATCCAGTCAACGAATACAAAGACAGCATCTTCGACTTTATTAATTTTATTAATATCTCAAACTTATGGTAAATATAAATAATATAAATTTTGGAACTCGATTTCCTGGAAAATGAAACCTTGAAAGAAGAAATTTTATTGCATATTTTGTTCTTATTTCGTTTGTATATAAATATAAATATATAAAAAAAAGGGAGAGAGAGGAAAATTTAGAAATGGAAATAAAGTTAGAATTATGGGAGATATTAGTCGGCGAAGGTAGGGGAAAAAGGGGAATAAAGGCGGAAAGAAACTCGATGTGAAATTCGTTTTATCGCGTACGATCGACGTTGTTCTATTCCAAGCGAAAGAAACGCTGTGACCGCGTAATTTTCCTTAGAGCTCGCCCGAGTTTTCCCCGACCACCGGTTCGATAACATCTTTGTGAAAATCCTGGTCGCGAGCAACGCGGTATTTCTCGATCAACCGATATGTGTGCTGTTTCGAACACGTTCTATTATTGTCAACTAGAACGATTTAGACCGGATTTATCTAACGTTTCGGCGAAATGCTATTTCGAAAGAAGAAATATTCTGATTCCGCAACATTGGTTCATCTGTTAGAAACTTGCTACTATACGAACGATAGTATAGCAAAAGTATACGAACGCTTACCAATTACACAATTACTAGAATTAGGCAATTTTTATGAACATGTTCCGTGCGTTGTAAGGAACATCGAGCAAATATTTGTACGTTAACATTATTCGTAAATCGCGTAAGAAGAATAGTAACTTGGTTACGCGATATGTAATTCAACATTTTATGATAGAACACTTTTATGTTCATTCTGTACATATTAAATAGAGTGAATTTTATATTGACATATTAAAATTGTTATTATGGAAAACTATTATGTAAAACTATCATGATTATATTCATAAAATTCCAAGTCAATCTGAAACTGTACATATGGTACGTATAATATAAAACATATTATATATTGACGTATTAAAATGTAGAATGTCATGTACATATTGTATGTGTTACGTAAAATTGCCCAGATTATATTCATAAAATTTAAGTCAATCTGGAACTGTACATATCGTATGTACAACATAAAACGGATTATATATTGACATATTAAAATGTGTTAAATAGCATGTACATATTGCACGTGTTACGTAAAATTGTCGTGAATGTATTGATAAAACTTCAAGTCAATCTGACACTGTTATATGTATAACATTAAAACACATTACACATTGACATATTAAAATGTATTTCATATTATGTGAATATTGTACGCGTTATATAAAACATTTTGAAATTTCATCATTATATTTGGAACGACACAAGTCTGTTATAATTATATTGGTTAAATTTCAACGCGATCTAAAAATGTACATAAAAGTTACCAAATATCTACTGCAAACATGTATTTAATAAGAACCAACTATACAATATGAACAGCAATCTTGTGCACATAATAATTATTGAATATGGCTCTGAATACCAAGACCAATATAATTGATATAATTGTTCAAATATTGCTACGACCTCTGTGAAATATATTATTATTATTATTTATTATAATTCTCGTCTTTAACTTAGAATGGCTTCCAGCTTACTCTCTACAAAATACTATACATATACAATAATTGCGCTAGATATCGTGCAGTTTACTTCACACATTTTCACATTTGCTTCATACTTTACCAAGATAATTACGATAATCGAGTCTCGACTTATGACATCAGCGCTAATCAAATTGTAAAACGTTTCGTCTAACACACCTGCTATACTCGTAAAAATCATCTACGAGTGTCCCAATACTTCCATGGGCAATTGTACGTTTATTCTAAATTCTCACGTGTATTCTACGTTGTGCCGCACGTTTATTTAAATTTCTATAAACACGCTCGAATATTTCCACGAGCGAGTCCACGTTCGTGTTTTAATCGCTGCGTCGTGTCGCACGTTTATTTCAATTTCTATAGAAGCGCTCGAATATTTCCGTGAGCTCGCTCACGGAATTTCTAATTTTCTAATTTTCGCGGAATTTTCACGGTCTATTCTAACTTCTATAGATCTTTGAGCATATATTTTCACGAGCAACTGTATGTGCGTGTATCCCAACATCTACGAATGTTCGAACACGTACCATCACGAGCAACAGTACGTTTGCTTCTGACTTCAACTGAGGTGATATTGAGTGTACTGTGTTAAATAAACGCTCGATGTTTAGGTCAACGATGTATTTATTAACAAGTGTCTTCTTTTGATCGCGTCGCATATCGCTCTCGCTTTCGCTAGTCAATCTCGTTGCCCGGCTACAACTCGACTTTACCGCTTCCTAGTTCGAACCTAACTGTCGATCGGATTCGATTCTTTTCCTTTTGCCGCCCCTCAATATCCCCACTATCTACGCGTTTGTTAGGCGTTCGCAACCGTTGCTACGCACGCCTTCTTCTCGAACATTCGGCGGAAGGACCGTTAGGATAT